ATCTCACTGGCGAATTCCCTATGAAATTGCAGATCTGCATAGGTGGTGACATCATTTCATATAATCATGGCATTTTGTTTGGGAATTACAATTAACAGCTAATGAATGTTCAAGACAAGGCCCTACTAACTACTAACTTTAATGGTGTAACCTGCGATGTTCTCCGGCTTTGTCGTTAAACATTTTTAGAATTCCTTCTCACTCTCTCTCAGCTTTTTGTTAAGTTTGTTGAGAAATTTCTGTTATTAAGAAATTAAAAGCCGCTTCGCATGCTTTTCTTTTCTTTACTTTACTTTTCTTTCCATTTCATTTCTCCGCCGCCGGATCTTGGCTAACAAGTAAATGTGTGTTGTTTTGGCCTCTTCGCTCTTTTGTCCATTATCTTTCGCTCTCTTTCGGCTGAAATTAGTTGGCTAAAAACAATGAGAAATCCGTATTCAGGGCAGTTCCTTCAATGGCCGCAACACTTTGGCATTCGACGACGGCTTTTGTGTAATATCTGAAAAAACGCAAATGGCTCAAAGACTTGTAGCGGTCCCCGCTCCACTATATCCCCCCTATATGTCCCCCTATATACCTCCCCTTCCCCATATATCCCCGACTATCTGCTGATCCGGCCATGGCGGACGTGTTGCGCATGCGCCCGAGGGCAATACAAGTTGCTCGCTGTGTGTACAATTTATATGCCAAGTGGGCTGAGAGTGAAAATGTCATTGGCAGATGTGTCGCGGATATTAGCAGTGGACCCCCTCCAGCCCCTTTACTACACTAGAAAAAATCTCTCTGCAATTGGGCATACATTTAAAAACAAAACCATATTTGCCACCAATTAGTGTGATAAGCCAAACATTACCAATTACTATTTAGTTGAACATTTATCCTGTATAAAATTCAATTATCAAATTCGTCCTTTTTATTAAGAGTAGGTATTAATAGTTCATAAGTAAAGTTTGAAACAATTGCATTACCAACTACAATATATAAAACAAACAAAAGTTTATTAAGAAATATTTACACCTGTACTATAGCATTATTCTTCCTTCAAAAATATATATTTCAATTCAATATCTTATAGAAATGCTCTTCTGGTAACCCGTTTAACCCTTACTAATTAATTAACTGAATTTTCCAAACTTTATAATATCAAATTATATATCCTAATAAACAGTACTTTTGTTATTAAACACTTTTCTCCCCGTGCACCATTCAATCTCCCACTTCCTCTGCAATCCCCTATCAAAAGCCAGCAGACAAAAGGCCCGCACTTGGCTGAATAATTTGTTTATGCAAACGCAACTTTGCGAATATCAAAAGTAACTATTTAAAGTGCGGGAGGTGGGGCTGGAATTATTTACAAGCTTGTTGCTGTCGTAGTCCAGTGCGCACACATGTTTCCCGTGCTGGTTGCAACTAGTGTTGCTGCTGCTGCTGTTGCTGCCGTGTTGCTGTTGCTGCTTCTGCTGCTGTTGCAGATGTTGCTGCTGTGTTCTGCCCCCTGGTTGCAGGCATCTTTTTAGCTGTAATTATGATGAGCTGCGGCCGTTTAGCTCACAAGTTAATTACCCCGTTCCATCGGATTCAATGGGGACAGGCCGACCACTTTCGACACTTTCAATGGGGGTTGGGCCAAGAGCAAGAGGCATCTGTTGCTGCTGTTTCTGCTGCCACTGCTGCATTTCCCAAGCTGTCTATTTTTGGTGCTTGAGGGCCGCGAGCGAAAAGCGCCATTAAATCGATTTTACATTAAAAATATTGCACAAGCCATCATTGTTGGCGTTGCTGCCAGAATTAATGGATCATAATTATGGTACAGTAGCAGCAGCGGTACGGCAACAGTAGCTGCGGCATTAGAAAAGAAAACAAGAAACCAAGCGGAGAGGCAGACAATTGGAGTCCGATCACGAGGCAGATGCACAGATGAACAGATGAACAGGCAGAAATTGCTCGAGAGGAAAAGTTTTCGATTCGGATTTAGGTTGCGCGGGGAAATCTCAGGCGGCAATTGTGGGACTCTCCGCCAGAAGGTTAGAAGTAAGTCTTTTTTTCCAGACCCCAGATAAAGATGCCCACTTAGCTAGCATTTCAGTGAAAGAGAACTTTTCTTTTCTTTTTCACTGCGTCCGATGTGGATGATGATGTTGCTTCTGCTTCTGCTGCTGCTAATGATGTTGATGTTGCTGCCGTGTTTGTTGCATTGTTTTGCTTGGAGTTTTCCAAGAGAAATTTATGGCACAGTTTGATGGACAACGATGCGCGGCTGTCTCTGCCTAAATACCAGGGAAAAAAGACTCTCATGAGCGATTTGTTCTGGCCACAGTGCCGACCTCCCCCGATTTTCCCTGCCGTTCCTCAAAGAAAGCTAACTGCGCTGATGGCCATCTGTTTTGTTTTACTTTTCTTATTGTATTTTGTATGTTGACTTGACGTCATTTTGCGGCAAGTGAAAATGTGTGCGATGCGGTGGTGCGGCGGTACGGTGGTGCTGTGGTGCCGACAAACCCGTTTTCAGGTTTCGGTTTCGGCTGAGCTTGTGAGATGTTTATGTTTTCAACAACAAGCACTGCAACAACATCAGCAGCAGCAGCAGCAACCGCAGCAACAGCAACATTTGTTCGCCTTTTTTTTCGGCTCAATGTTAAGACGAGATGTTAAAAACGTGATTTCCATGCGTCGCCAGCGTTGTCGTTGTCGGCATATTTAAATAAAATACTTTTACTATCAACGAAAACTAGTCAGCGGGCAAACAGCTCGTTATATTGCTGATCAAAAATTATAGTGCAACGATGGCGCCAGCAGTTGCCAGTTGCTGCTGCAACATCAATTGCTGCTGCTGCTGTTGCTGCAGTTGCATACGCAATGCGCAACGCGCAACGCAAAAGGCCACTGACCAAGACCTGGATCGGCAACACCACCCAAAAGCCAGTGAACCCAGCAATTATCCCATACGAGGCGGGTGGCTAGGCGATAATACCCGATTTTGGACCCTATATAAAAGCCAACGGTTTATTGTCGACATTGCCGGCAGTTATGCAAGGCCAAGCAATTTATCAATTTTTTCATAATTTGCATCACATAACCAAATGGAACGCCCCGCTTGGCTTAATAATGCCAAATAGAGGGAAAGATAGGCAAATATCCAAATATCCAAATAAAATATGCGTTAATTGTATGGAAATGTATTTAGCCCAGTGTCCGAACATTTCTTTTGACCCTTTCTTTCAACTCTATACGTTTATTTTTTGTCATTGTCTTTCGACCGGCCCGCCGCGTATTATTGGGAATTATACAATATTAGCGGGCAAAAAAGAGTTATTTTCGATCTGTGAAGTGAATCATAATAAAGCTGTTACATTTGTCGACCATTGAGGGTGTGTGTGTGTATAATGAGCTTATGTCAGGTAAATCTGGGACTTGAAATAGGAATTCTGGCGGATTACAAGAGTTTACTTACCAAGGCCTTATCTAGCCATGTTGTTGGCATAAGATTACAAGATGGTAACCACCAGATATGAGCTATTATCTAGCCCTTCCTAAGTGTTCTGTGTATGTTCTGGGCTTACGTTAGACCTGCTTTCAATTAACTCTTGTGATGTCATCGGCCCGATATGCAAATCTATGCTAATGCAACCGTTTCTTGCCTTTGTCTTAGCCAAATTGGCAGTAGAAAAAAAGAGACTTACTCAACAAGCGAACGGAAGTGATTAAGAAAGGCGAAATGGCAGCATCTAGCCATCTCCCTCGGCGATGAAAGTGAAGAGGAAGAGGGGCGATGGAACTAGACAAAAGGCTGGCTTATGCAAATGCTAACTGGCCGCAGATACATCCATCCAACAGCTGTTTTGTCTAGCTCTGTGATGTAAGCCAGTCCAAAACGTATTCCCCGCTTCTTCTGCTCTTTCACTCTGCTCTTAATTTATGCAAATGCGACAACATTTCTTCGTCGACGGCTTTCTTCACATGCAAAACACCATATGTATATATGTTTGTGCCACTCATGTGGGGTAAATGTATATGTAATGCAGAAACAATAAAGATTTTGGCAATTTTTGGGGGTGGCCAAGCCAAACGATATGCGCTAAAATCTCAACAAAAGCCTTTTACAATAAAAGACGAGATGAAATGTACACAAAAAACATAACAAATTAGTTTAGCACTTTTGAAAGTTGTCAAGGGGAAGCGGACGTAGTCGTCATACGCCTTGCACACTAAAATGAGGCCCCCGACTCTGACTTTTGCTTTTCTGAAACATAAAACTCTTTATAATTGCACTGTAAACATTTCACTTTCGTTTTTTATTCCGCCTTTTTGTGCCCTGTGTCTTGGAAATCAGCTTAACACACGACGAAATGTCGTCTCCGCGCGTCGTGCACAGAATAATTTCATCGGTCGTCGCTTTCGCCATCATATTACAATAATTTACAATATGTGGGTGCTTTGGGAGATAAAGATTGCATCGCGCTTGGATGGTGACTCCGCCTGTCGAGGACTCAATTAGCATCTGTCCAGATTATGGCTGCACATTTGCATTAATGAGATTCGGGGAACTCTTTTTATTTCGTATATTTTTTGGGAAGTCGTGGCGGCTACTGCCGATGACCCCACGGTTGACCCCAGTTGGCTGACATTTTGGGGACAGAAAACCGCCACTAACCAGCCTTTATTTTACTTACCAACAGAGCAACGCCCACTCACCGATGATATCAAGTCTTAATGCATCTGGAAAAAATCGACATTTAATAAAAACTTGCAACATTTCGAAATCTAAAGGGTCATCTTTGCTAATCACCCTTTCTTATAACAAATCTATTTAGTTTTAGATTTCTTAATAATTATTCGTATACCTATTGAATACTTTTATAAGTTTTATTTAAATAAAATATAAAGGCTTCAAGCTAATATTAATTTGAATTCATCAGCACTGTCTTCATTTTAATTCTTAAATTAAATAGTTGCTTTCCTGGCTTGTTAACTAATGAAACTCCTCTAATTTATCCTTTCAGATCGAATTCCAAGGCTTCATATTTGCCGCGCCAGAGTCTGGAGAAGCTGAACAACACAGATCCCGACCATGGCATCTACAAGCTCACCCTGACCTCCAACGAGGACCTGGTGGCCCACACGAAGCCCAGCTATGGAGTAAGTGGAAAACTGCCCAACAATCTGCCTGATGTCCTGCCGCTGGGCGTCAAGTTGCAACAGCAGCCAAAGTTGCAGCCAGGATCGCCTAATGGCGATGCGAATGTGACCCTGCGCTATGGCTCCAACAACAATCTGGCTGGGAACTCCCCCACGAGTGCCACGCCCCCCTACTACGCTGGAGGGCAGCGGTACTCCACTCCGGTTTTGGGTCAGGGATACGGAAAGAGTCCGAAATCCGCAACCCCGCAGCAATACACGAGATCTCAGTCGTACGATGTGAAGCACACAAGTGCGGTGACCATGCCGCCGATGTCCCAGTCCCACGTGGACCTCAAGCAGGCCGCCCATGATCTGGAGACGACGCTGGAGGAGGTCCTGCCACCCAGCACGCCCACACCGCCACGCCTCTCGCCGGCCTCCTCGCACTCGGACTGCAGTCTGAGCACCAGCTCCCTGGAGTGCACGATCAATCCTATAGCGACACCGATTCCTAAGCCCGAGGCGCACATCTTCCGTGCCGAGGTGATCAGCACCACCCTGAACACGAACCCGATGATACCACCCAAGCCCACGATGAACCGCCAGGAATCCCTGAGGGAGAACATCGAGAAGATCACGCAACTCCAGTCGCAGCTGATGTCGGCGCATCTCTGCGACACGGGGCTAATAGGTGGCTACACCAGTCCCCTGATAACCAGTCCCACAGCCAGTTTCGTCAACGAACCACTGATGACACCGCCGCCACCGCCCAGTCCACCGCCCCCGGAAGAGGAGGAGGACATGTCCTCCGACAGGGAGCCCGAGATCAAGGAACTGCAGCTGATGCAGCGCAGCGAATTGGTCCTGATGGTGAACACCAAGCCCAGCACAACGGATATGGCCTGCCAAACGGACGAACTGGAGGACAGGGACACGGACCTCGAGGCGGCACGCGAGGAGCATCCGACCAGGACCACTCTCCAGCCCCGCCAGCGACAGCCCATCGAACTGGACCACGAGCAGATGAGCCAGGAGCTGGCGAAGCTCCTACCGCCCGGCGACAAGCTCGCCGACATCCTGACACCAAAGAGCCGCAAGCCCACCTCGCACTACGTGAGCAATCTGTACAATCCGGATGTGCCCCTGCGACTGGCCAAGCGGGATGTGGGCACCTCCACGCTGATGCGGATGAAGGCCACCACGTCGTCGACGGAGATCCGGGTGGTCAGTGTGGAGCTGCAGCTGGGCGAGCCTAGCGAAGAGCCGACGAATTTAATCAAACAAAAGCTGGTGCGTACTACATTGGGATATGTATGGAATCTTTAATCTAACCTATCTGTTTCCCTTCCAGGATGAGCTCATCAAGCATTTGAACCAAAAAATTGGCTCTCTGAAGCGCGAGCAGCAGACGATTGGCGAGGAGTGCTCGACCAATGACAAGCTGGGCCAGGAGCTCTTCGCCAAGCTGGCGGAGAAGGTGCGGCCCAGTGAGGCGTCCAAGTTCCGTACCTACGTCGACGACGTGGGACACATCACCAGTCTGCTCCTGTCGCTTTCCGAGCGTTTGGCCCAAACGGAGTGCAGCTTGGAAACGCGCCAGCAGGAAAAGGTGGGTTGTCATGATAAACCCTTTAAAATTGGGAATGTTTTACTAATGAGAAATCTCTTTCAATCCCTAGGGTGCGCTGGAATCGAAGCGGGATCTGCTGTACGAGCAGCTGGAGGAGGCGCAGCGGCTGAAGGCGGACATCGATCGACGTGGCGCCAGCATCGCTGGATTGCTGGGCAAAAACCTCAGTGCCGATATGTGCGCCGACTACGACTACTTCATCAACATGAAGGCCAAGCTGATCGCCGACGCACGCGACCTGGCCGAAAGGATCAAGGGCAGCGAGGAGCAGCTGGGCTCCCTCAGCGATGCGCTAGTCCAAAGCGATTGTTAACTTGGCTAACTTGGCCGATTCGATTCGATTCTCCCAGCTGTCAACTCAAAGTTGAGAGCCGATCGCGAGAGTCCGCAGGATCCGCCAGTCCAGTCCGCAATGTGTATTAGTTTAAAACGATGTGCTTAATTACCACACCCACACTATAATGTATAAATATTGTATGTTCATTTGTGATTTTCAACTAGCTAGTAGGTTAATTATTCTATATATCGGCCGCATAGGTGTAAGCATTTTCTACATAATTATCAAAGCAAAGATAAACTGTATGCATTAATAAAACCATGAAAACTATAAGTGTCATTTTTGAGTTGGAACTTATTGCTAAGGCAGCCTGAAAGTAGGCAACAAAACTGTAAGTTTTGCGTTTGATTTCAACTTGGAAAATTTGAGCAATTTTAAAGTTGTACTGCATCAGCTAAACATATTTAGATAATGGTGAAATATATCTTTCAGTTCTTGGCTGATTTGAACGTATAAAGATCTGCTGACCCGCCAATTTCCGTTTCCGCTACTTTTGAATGAAAGGGCAATGCGTTGCAATGGTTGCCTTTCTTTGTTTTCGATCTTACTAAGCAGGCTCTGATTTGTATTCTTTTGCCTAAAATTGTATACGAACTTTTCAACAGCTGCCTATTTATATATTTAAATATTTAATTTGAAAATCCGTTAAGTAAAATAATCGGTGGCTATCGACGTTGCCAAATTTGTTACAGCACCGATAGTATCGAATACACATCGTTTTTGCTTCCACCTCTACGCCCGATATGCAAAACAAAAATTAAAAACATTGGTCAGTTCCAGTCGCGTCCACTTGCACACGTTGCAGTTTTATTGGCATTGGACGAGGTCGAGTGAAAGCAAAGCGCAAGTCCCGAGAATCCCGATTCGTTTGCTATGTTCAGGGTCAGACCGCTCTTCCCCTGGATACGAAGCACTCTGCAAACGACCTTGAAACTCCAACCAGATACATCCACATCCGAATCAGTCGTCCGTCGGAACCTGCGACTCCCACACATCGGTTGTCGTAGTCGCACTGTGAGCAAGTGAGTAGAGCGTCCGGGAAAATAAAACCACCTGTTTAAATGTTACGAATTTGTGGCACAGCCGAAAATACGGAAGAATGGCCACCGGAGGAGAAGCAGCCAAGGAGGAATCCAAGGAGGCAGCCAAGGATGCATCCGAAAAGCCATCCAAGGAGGCTTCCAAAGAGGCATCCAAAGGGGCATCCAAGGAGCCTTTCGAAGAGGGCTCCAATGAGGCAGCCGGCGGAGCACCCAAGGAGGCAGCCAAGGAGGAACCTCCAAAACAACCCAATCGCTTGGCCTCCTCCAAGTCCCCATATCTTTTGCAACATGCATACAACCCAGTGGACTGGTAAGTAGAGCACAGCGAAGGTGCAGCCTAAATCGAAATGCGTGGGTGTCAGTTAAATTAAAATCACGTGTGATAAGAAAATGATAAGGGGTGATATAAATCGCCCACTTAAAACTAGCAATAATAACAACATTATTTGTGTTAAACCGCTGCAAGAAAATTTGTATTTTTAGAATTCAATTTTTTTTAATTTAAATTTTAAATTGGCTTTCTTGAACAATTTACTCTACTGCGCATTAAGTGTTTGTTACATAAATAGTTGGTGTTGCTCTATTAAATCTTGAAAAACACGTTATTTAAATTGCAATTTACACAACAAATTGATTTCTTCAAAAAATGATTAGTCGAAATAAGAGTTTCTTTAATTTCTTTTCAATTACTGATAGAAATTGCCATCAAGTATTGTTGATTTTAATTTAAAATGTATTACCTGCAGGTATCCCTGGGGCGAGGAGGCGTTCGAAAAGGCCCGCACCGAGAACAAGCTCATCTTCCTTTCCGTGGGCTACTCGACTTGTCACTGGTGCCATGTAATGGAGCATGAATCCTTCGAGTGCCCCGAAACAGCAGCCATTATGAACGAGCACTATGTAAACATAAAAGTGGATAGGGAGGAGCGTCCGGACATCGACAAGGTCTACATGCAGTTTCTCCTCATGTCCAAGGGCAGTGGTGGATGGCCAATGAGCTTGTGGCTAACTCCTGAATTGGCTCCATTGGTGGCAGGAACGTATTTCCCTCCAAAGTCAAGCTTTGGAATGCCCTCATTCGCCACTGTTCTCAAAGCCATTGCCAGGAAGTGGACTGTCGACAAGGAATCTCTTGTAAAGGCAGGAAACGTTTTGCTCACCGCTTTGAAGGACAACCAGGATGCTGAGGCTGTGGAAGAGGCAGCTTTTGGGCCGGGAAGTGCTATAGAAAAGCTACGCGAAGCCATTAACGTCCATAAACAGCGATACGACCAGATTCATGGCGGTTTTGGTTCGGAGCCGAAGTTTCCGGAGGTACCACGTCTAAACTTTCTCTTTCATGGGTATTCCGTCACTAAGGATAAGGATGTGCTGGACATGGCGATTCAAACACTAAAGCATATTGGAAAGGGTGGCATAAATGACCACATCTTTGGAGGCTTTGCTCGCTACGCCACCACACAGGATTGGCACAACGTCCACTTTGAAAAGATGCTCTACGATCAAGGTCAATTAATGGCAGTTTTTGCTAATGCCTTCAAGATGACCAGAGACAAAGCCTTTTTTTGCTATGCACACAAGATCTACGATTATTTAATAAATGACCTAAGACATCCTTTGGGCGGCTTTTATGCTGGCGAGGATGCGGATTCGTTGATCACTCATGAAGATAAAGTGAAGGTTGAGGGGGCCTTCTACGCCTGGACCTGGGACGAGATTGAAGCTGCCTTCAAGGATCAGTCCGAGCGGTTTGGCGACATGACGGCAGAGAGGGCTTTTGAGATTTATACTTTCCACTACGGTTTAAAGCCACCAGGAAATGTACCGCCAAGGAGTGATCCACATGGTCACCTCACTGGTAAGAACATTCTTATTGTTCGAGGATCAGCAGAGGAGACCTGCTCCAAATTCGACTTGGATGCGGAGTTCTTTGAGAGTTTTCTTGCCGTTGCCAATGATATTCTGCATATTCTGCGGAATAAGCGACCGCGTCCCCACCTGGACACCAAGATCATATGCGCCTGGAATGGCCTGGTGCTGTCGGGTCTCTGTGAACTTGGTAACTGCTACACCGCCAATCGGGATCAGTATATGCAGACGGCCAAGGAACTTTTAGATTTTCTCCGCAAAGAGATGTATAAACCGGAAGAGAAGCTTCTACTCCGTTCTTGCTATGGTGTGGCTGTGGGAGATGAAACCCTGGATAAAAATGAGTGAGTATCCCGTATCAAGCATGATATAATTCTTATTATTTAAAAAACAACTTGCCCATTGTAGATCCGAAATCGATGGCTTCTTAGATGATTATGCTTTTCTGATCAAAGGCTTGCTGGACTACTACAAAGCTACGTTGGACATCGAAGCGTTGCATTGGGCCAAGGCACTGCAAGACACCCAGGACAAGCTTTTTTGGGACGAGCGCAATGGAGCCTACTTTTTCTCGCAGGAGGGTGCACCCAATGTTATTGTGCGGCTAAAGGAGGGTAAATTGTATACATTATTGGATTTTCTGTTCCAAAAACTGATTTGTAAATCCTTTTACAGACCACGATGGTGCCGAACCTTGTGGTAATAGTGTATCTGCACGCAACCTCGTCCTTCTGGGGCACTATTACGAAGAGGATGCCTATATACAGAAGGCTGGAAAGTTGCTCAACTTCTTTGCCGACGTCAGGCCCTTCGGACACGCTCTCCCAGAAATGATGTCCGCTCTAATGATGCACAGGAACGGACTGGATCTTGTGGCAGTGGTGGGTCCGGATACGCCGCACACCCATTACTTCATGGAGATTTGCCGCAGGTTTTACATACCAAGCATGATCATGGTGCATGTGGATCCCGCGAAACCGGAGGAAGGCTCGAACCAGCGCTTGCAAACAAAGTTCAAGATGATCAATGGCAAAACCACGGTTTACGTTTGCCACGAACGACAATGTCGGATGCCGGTTACCTGTCCAACGATGTTGGAGAATAACCTAATGGCGTTCTTTTTCTCAAAGCGTGACTAAGTCCTGAAAGTTTCTCGAACTAGATTTTTAGACCATCTAGATGTTATTGTTTTTTTTTGCTTTCAAAGCGAAAATCAGTTCTCGGAACTGCATAGTTGTAAGTAGTTAATAAAATCCCAATGGACTTGCGACAAAGTCATATAACTACAGCTTATTGAATTGTCAAGTCTGATAGACTTTCCCCGCCTGCATTGCTCCCTAAGTGTCTAGAGTTGGTTGAAGTTGCTTTGTATATTTAAAGTAACATACAACTAAAATAACCTATCTATGTCTATATAAAAAGTTAATAAAGACAACGCGGGGGAAACCCTAAATTTTGCTTGGTATTTTACTGCTTTTCAGAAATATTTTTAGTATATTTAATTTTTTTAATTTTAAATTGCAAATAAAATATAGTTCAGTTTTTCTCGAAAAGATGGTAAGACCATAGAAATCTTTCAGGTATTCCTAAGGATTCATTCACACAGAAAATTTTTAAAAATATTTCTCTGATAAATTATTTTCTATAATGAATTTATTTCGAAGCTAAGAAGCTAATCACTTTCTACAACCAAACTGCTATAAATGAAACCAACATCGATTAATCTCTCTTCTCGAATACAACACGTTTTGTGCATTTATTGGAATCGTTCTGTTCGTGGAGCAAACAACCATTCGGTGGTCGGCTGCACCTGCTCCGCCCCAGAGGCGTAGGCGTAAAACTAGGCTTTAAACTAAATGCGTGCCCTGCGCTGCGTCCGTGATCCGCAACCATACCCGATCGAATGGAGCTGGGATCCCGGAGGCCACGGCAATCGGCGTAGAAGGAAACTAAACGTATGGAGAGAACAGCTCGGTAATCGGTAATAATAATCGTAATAATAGTAGTTTGTAGCAATTAAAATAATTTAGTTGAAATTCACATTCATCACATTGGTTGGCCGACCATCTGCCATGCCTCATCCTCAACTGTTGCCGTCGTCGTCGTCGTGGCCTCCGCCTCTCAGGTGTCCGCATCGTTAAAGCTCATGGCCGCATCGAAGCTGTCCACGATGGTCTCCATGCGCTCGTGGTGCTCGAATCGCGCAAACTTCCGTGCAAACTTCCGTCCGGATCGCGAAGTGCTGTACCTCCGCGAGAAACGCGCCCTCCGAAAGAACCGGAAGCGGGTATCCTCCTCCTCCTCGTCGTACTCTGGCGCCGACACCGAGTCCTCGTCCGTTTCGCGCAGAAACTCCTTGGGATCCCGGTGGATCTTGAAGATCTTGGTGGCCGGCGCCCCATTTAGCTTCGATATGGTGCGCGAGGCGTTGAGAATCCCACTGGAATTCGAAATGGAACTGCTGCGATTCTTGATGGCCGTCAGACGGTTCGTTATGGACACCACGTTGAACAACTTGGACAGCTCCGAGTCGACGCAGCGCGATTCGCGACGCAGGTTCTTGCCGTTCTTCACGTAGATGAAGTGGTTCAAGGGGCTCTGGCTCAAGCTCTGGCCATCCAGGGGATGGCTTCCGGCGGAGCAGGTGGGCGAGATGGAGACGGATACGGAGGTGCTGCTGCCGCCGCCCCCGCCGGTCAGCAGAGTGGGCGTCGAGGGCGGCGCTGGCGGTGGCACATGCGGCATTGTGTAGCAACGCTGGCGGCCCGAGGCCAGCGATGCCCCCCCGCCAGCCGGCCCGTCGTACAGGTTGGTCACGTTGTAGCGGCTCAGTCGGCACAGCGACGTGGACTCCGGCTCCAGTTCCGCCTCCGGATCGTGGCTGGTGGGCATGTCCATGGCCTGCGCGAGTGTGTGCGTGGTTTTTGGCCAGGTTTTTCGAGTGGGTGGAGTGCGGAGTGGTGTGGTGTGTGGCGACGGGGCGAAAAGAAAGGGCGTTGTAGCAGTGTTTGGGCCATCCGGAATTATCTGAGGATGCAGTGCATCCACTTACCTGCAACAAGCCTTCGACCTCCATGTACTGGCTGTCGGTGAGACGGTGTGTTTTGTGCATCAGTTGTTGATATCAGGTATATTGATTAGGAAATATTATTATTTTCGCCAGTGTGACCGAATGGCGCAAGTCAAAACACATGCAATATGGGTCTAGCGCCAAGTCACTCAAAAATCATAATAAAACAGTTATGTTTTTAAATTCAATATATTTTCATTCAGTTTAACTTGATTAGTATTATATTTTAAATTGGACCCTTTAATTTTAGCAAAACAATCTAATGGTTTACATGTTAATACTTACAAGCTCGCGAATAAATATTAATTTAAATGACATTTTTAAAAAATAATACTAGATACTAGATTAAAACAATCAGCTGGCAACACTTCTATTTCCGCCACAGTTGAGACTATCGATAACATGTTTTGCTTTGTTTTTCTGTTACTTTTTAAGTTGTTTTTTTGTTCAGATGTTCAGTGCTCAGGGTATATTGGACTTTTGACTTGACTTACCATGCTTTTGTTTATTTTTATATGTAATCGAATGTAATGCTTAAAACTGATAAGAATCGTTTTATTTAAAAGTTCGAATTTTCATGAATTTTGTGTAAGCTGATGGGCCAAATACACATTAAACTAAATAAGATGTTGTTCTTTTGTATTTTTATGCAGTCAGTTTATATATTAAAGAAAACTAAAAGATCTGACATATATTTTTAAAAATATTTAAAATTTACACGAAGGGTTCACTTGTATTGCTTTACTTTAATGTTTATTATGAAACCTGTAAAATAAATGTGGATTTCCTGTAAAAATATGTTTGCCCCCCACCAACAAAATAAAAACAATTGCTTGGGTTTAGGTTTTGTAGTTTTTTGAGTTTGTATTTTCTGGTTTCAGTCTTGTATGTTAGTTTGGCTGGTGCTTCGCAGCCTCTTGTGGTCATTAATAGGCCCCCACTCTTGGTATCGCTGTGAGAACTGCGGGCCAAACTGTAGAAGTGCTTGTGGCCAAATCTCCGTTTCAAGGCGCACGCTCCCAGTCTGGCCACCATGTTCCGGGAAAATCCCGGGTCGGATGGCTGACGCGCCTATGTCATCTGCACAAGAAGCCGGCTTTCCATTGGGGGGCGGAGAGAGTCTGTGCCGGCTGGAGGGGCGCGGCAGTGACGAGTCCCAGCCCCGGGTTTTGTTGTGTGTTGTGTTTGGGTACTGGCGTGCCTCAAGCTTGTCGCGGAATCGCAGGGGTGAAATGATAAACAGCCCTACACCCGTGATCCCGAATGGGACAATTTGACGTGCCAACCGCACGGATGGCGATTCGGGAGCCATCGTAGTGCTATGTGGTTACTAAGATGTTTGACAAATGTCAAAATTGGTTTGGTTTTTTAAATTTCCGTAGAAATTTAAGTTTTGCCCGATTCACGCCCGCTGTAGCTCCACTCGCACCAGAGACATGGCGAGGGGTCGCAGCATCCACGACCGGAAGCAGCCGAGGCTGCAGCCGGAAACGGAAGTCGCCGCCCTTCGGGGCTGTCAATGTCACGTGCAAAAGGATCTAAGCGGGCGATCACCGGGCGGGGGGTTTTTTGCCAGCTTCACAAAGGACCAGGATCAGACGGAAAAACTAGGGAAAATGGTCACAAGAGCGATGGTCACTACATTTTTCAACACAGCGATCATCTCTCCGGGTAACCAACTTATCGCTTCTTGTCTTCCGCTGAGCGGCACAAAGTGGAGCCGGCGGTTGTGAGAATTATCGGGCTGAGGGCGGCGGCTGAAGATCAAGCAACATCCATTCGGAGTCGCAATGTCAAAACATTCAATTCGAGCCAGAGGAGGTGACCCCTTTGAGTTCGAATTTCATATTTCTTCATTGCGACTAACCGATTTCTTGGACGAAATGCCTGATCCCCAGCCGCCGCCGCCTAATAATTCTCGGAGCTTTGCTTGTTCAAAAAATAAATTCAAGATTGCAATTGAATGAATTGCTGACTGGAGTGTTGGCGTTCTTTGCCAAAAAAGCCGCAGGGCAGCGTGAAATATTATGAAATTAGAGCCGTTTTCGGTTGGAAGTAATCGAAACAGCGTGATTTTTTGGGGGTCAGATGCTGATCGAAGCTTACCGGCACGCCAATTGCCAGTGAGTGTGAAGAGTTTGGGAGTGCTGGCGTATGTTGCTGCCGTACATGTTGCCGCTGCTGCTGGTGGTGTTGCTGTTGCTGCCGCACATGTTGCTGCTGCTCTGGGCTCTCCCGCTCTCTCCGGTTGTTGGGCTCTCGCTGACGTTGGTCGGCCAGTGTGGCTACGAAAAGTTCTGGAATGTTTTGGGGAGGCGGGGCCACCGGTGATGTCATGTGGTGGCTGCTGCTCCGTCTGGGATTTGTGGGTGTTTTGGTCGCCTACTCCTCCTGGTTCTCCTCCTGCCGATCCTTCTGGCGCTTGCGGCAGTTGTCGAAGGTGTGGCCGCGGAAGTTGCAGTAGGTGCAGCGGGTGGTGCGACGGGAGCCACGCACGTTCTTGGAAGCGGCGGTGAGCTCCTCATCCTCCTGGTTGTTGTGCTCGATGATGCGGCCCTGCTCGAGGAGATCCTTGAAGGACTGGACGCTCTGGCGGGCAATGTGCTTGCGGTACTTGATGTTCAGCAGGCCGTAGAGCAGATCCAGCTCCGTCTCCTCGTCGTGGCGATCGGCGGGCAGCTGGGCGAGCAGTGCCCGCTTGGTTACCACAAAGGTGTCGATGGGATCATGGTCATCCTGCTTCTTCTGGAAGAACTCCATGTAGACCTGGTAGGCGGGCTTTGTGGGGGAGAAGTGTTCGCGGATGAGGGCGATGGCGTCATTCCACGTGGCAGCCTCCTTGCGGACGCCCTGCCACCAAGTGGAGGCCAGTCCGTAGAACAGCAGCGACAGGCCCTTGAGGGCGTTCTCGTCACTGATGTCCTCCAGCTCCTTGTAGGTCACGATGTTGGTGATGAACTCTTCGACCACGTCATAGTCTCGGGTTCCGCCGAAGTTGTGTGTGCAGGCGGAGAAGCTGCCCTTGCCCTTGGCACCCTGGGCGTTTGCTCCTCCGGATGTGGCTGCGATTCCGGCGGCACTTACGGCGGACACCCGCACCGCTTCGATCAGCTCCCTGAGCTGTTCGTTGGTCATATGTATCGACTGGGCCATCTTCGGTTATTTGTGGTTGGAGTGGGCGATAACACGTTTTGGAATTTTTCTTGTTTTGAGTGTCTGTTCGGCGGGCAAAGCCAGTGTAGCGAATGCGGCCGATGTACTAAAGAGCTCTTCCAAATGGGGGGCCTTTTATACCCGGCTGTTGTGAAATCGAAGTTCGAAAAAGCTTGTGGTAGTGGGGAGAGCCAAAGTGGGAGAGGAACCCCCAAAAGAGCGGGCATTGCCTGTGTTTTTTGTTATTGCCAGTGCCGGTGAATCATCGCGTCTATATAATAATAGCACTGAAAGCCGGTAACTGCCCACCAAACTGATAAACAAACCTGATAATAAATACATATGTTCCGATTGATATTTTCTACGAATTTTGTTTTTAAATGTTTGTTAAGGTTTGTAGAACCATTTTCTTTCAGTTTCGGGGTGTATTTCTTTTGTGTATGATATTACAACCCTATACGAAATAGCAAAATGAATAATATGTACATATATATATTGAAAAGGCCATGTGTTATAAAAAAACAGACTCTTACAGTTTACTAGTGGAAAAAACCCGGTCCCATAATCTAAAGTATTATTAATTTATAGTTCATACGCATAATTTGGTTATAAACCATAAATAAATACATATTTTTGATTTACTCATTTTATTAAATTAATTTCATAATATTTAAAGTTGTTTTTGTATTTCTTTTTTGTATGATATTACAACCCCATACGAAATATCGAATGTATATTCAAAAGACCATTTGTCATCATCAAAAAATAACAGACTTACATATATAAACCGCACTAGTGAATAAAATTAAGTCCCGCAATCTAAAGTATTATTAATATATAGTTCGTAAGCATAATTTATCATAAACCATAAATAAATACATATTGTAAACTCATTCTTTTTATTAAATTAATTTCTTAATATTTAAAGTTGTTTTGTTTGATTATGGTCATATTAATCACATAAAATAACAACCGAAAAGAGGGTGAGCTAAAAAATAAAAATGTATTTTAAAGCACCTTTTAAAACAGTTGCTGGCAGATACAGTGTGTTTAATTGCATTTTTAAATGTTATTACATTCCCATACGAAATTCTATGAAATGAGTAATTGCCTGACCACCGACACGCGATTTATAATTGTTGTTACTGAAAGGGGCTCTTGTTTTTTAACGTTAAATATACGAGTTTTTGTATGTTCTAGCTATACACAAACATTTTATTGTTTCTATCTACTAATGCTTTCTATTGTTGTGACGTCATTAGTTTTTCTGAGTATGTATTTGATAAATCCCAATTTGTCACTAGAATTCAATAGTGATGATCTCAGAAATCCGGTTTTAAGTAAAATGTACCACAAACATATTTTTAAGCTTCTATTCTATATTGATTTCGAAACTTTTTCTTTTAGTTTAATCAATAAAAAAAATGACTCCACATGTTATCTGGGGTATTAGTGTAAATCGAAATAAAGATAGGAGAGGGAACCCCCAGAGAACAAGAAAAAGCTTTCCCATGCGATAATCGACCAACAAATAAAATGTTTGGAAACTGATAGGAATTCATATATAGTATAGGTCGTTAGCTGCACAAAAGAGTTTTTGGTTTAGCTCTGGGTATTTTTTAAACAAGTTTATAAAACTCTATAAAACAAATAGTCAAGTAATATTAAAGAATTCAAAAGCTCGAAAGTAAATAAACAAATATTAAGTAATTAGATACGCAAAACAACTTTAAGTTCGTTTTCTTTTAGCAAAATTATGGTGTAAAAATGTCCATGTATCCTATGTAACACCTTATTAAATTCGTCATAATATCTCCCATATACACGAAACAGATTCAGATTCTTGTGGATGTGCGTTGTTTTTTATGGCCAAAATCCGTAAAAAAATCAACCTTTATTTCGGTTTTTTGGTCAAAACCCTGGGAAAAAATTATCTAATGTTAGAATGTCATACCTCGATGAATTCGTTATAAAATTTCCTATCGAGTGGCATTCACAGCTCAAAATTTTCATTTTGGTCCGTTTTTCTCCAAAAATGACAATGTAACCCCTTATGAAAAAATCCGAAATCCGGAGATCCGGAAAAATGCACTTTTATTTCGGTTTTTTGGTCAAAAGCCTGGGAAATAATGGTCACATGTTGGAATGCCATACCTCGCTGAATTGGTAATAAAATTTCCAATCGAGTGGCATTCTCAGCTAAAAAATTTCATTTTGGTCGGTTTTTCGCCAAAAATGACAATGTAACCCCTTATGAAAAAAGCCGAAATCCGGAGATCCGGAAAAATGCACTTTTATTTCGGTTTTTTGGCCAAAACCCTGGGAAATAATGGTCACATGTTGGAATGCCATACCTCGCTGAATTGGTAATGAAATTTCCAATCGAGTGGCATTCTCAGCTAAAAAATTTCATTTCGGTCGGTTTTTCGCCAAAAATGACAATGTAACCCCTTATGAAAAAAGCCGAAATCCGGAGATCCGGAAAAATGCACTTTTATTTCGGTTTTTTGGTCAAAAGCCTGGGAAATAATGGTCACATGTTGGAATGCCATGCCTCGCTGAATTGGTAATAAAATTTCCAATCGAGTGGCATTCTCAGCTAAAAAATTTCATTTTGGTCGGTTTTTCGCCAAAAATGACAATGTAACCCCTTATGAAAAAAGCCGAAATCCGGAGATCCGGAAAAATGCACTTTTATTTCGGTTTTTTGGTCAAAAGCCTGGGAAATAATGGTCACATGTTGGAATGCCATGCCTCGCTGAATTGGTAATAAAATTTCCAATCGAGTGGCATTCTCAGCTAAAAAATTTCATTTTGGTCGGTTTTTCGCCAAAAATGACAATGTAACCCCTTATGAAAAAAGCCGAAATCCGGAGATCCGGAAAAATGCACTTTTATTTCGGTTTTTTGGTCAAAAGCCTGGGAAATAATGGTCACATGTTGGAATGCCATACCTCGCTGAATTGGTAATAAAATTTCCAATCGAGTGGCATTCTCAGCTAAAAAATTTCATTTTGGTCGGTTTTTCGCCAAAAATGACAATGTAACCCCTTATGAAAAAATCCGAAATCCGAAGATCCGGAAAAATGCACTTTTATTTCGGTTTTTTGGTCAAAACCCTGGGAAATAATGGTCACTTGTTGGAATGCCATACCTCGCTGGATTGGTAATGAAATTTCCAATCGAGTGGCATTCTCAGCTAAAAAATTTCATTAACGTCGGTGTTTCGCCAAAATGAAAAAAGCCGAAATCCGGAGATCCGGAAAAATGCACTTTTATTTCGGTTTTTTGGCCAAAACCCTGGGAAATAATGGTCACATGTTGGAATGCCATACCTTGCTGAAATCGTATAAAATTTCCAATCGAGTGGCATTCACAGCTAAACAATTTCATTTTGGTGGGTTTTTCGCCAAAAATGACAATGTAACCCCTTATGAAAAAAGCCGAAGTCCGGAGATCCGGAAAAATCAACTTGTATTTTTTGATCAAAACCATGGTCTTATTTTGGAAGGTCATACCTGACTGAATTCGTTATAAAATTTTCACTCGAGTGGCATTCTCAGCTAAAAAATTATATTTTTATCGAATTTTCCAATAAATCATTAATTTAAATTTAAAACAACTTTAAAATGCCTAAAATAAAATTTAATAAGATAAAAATAATACACTAATTGATTTTTGTGCAAAAATGGCAATTAAGTTAAGTAATCGAGCCTGAAGTTAAGAATTGTTTCTTTGGAGTTCCTACAAATGTTAAACTACCATGAAAAATAAACAAAGCAAAATTTTGATTAAATGGGGCATACATGTTATTGTATTTGGCTCCTCTATCGATATATACGTGTGTGTTTTATTTTAAAAAAATGGGTGGCTCGTTTCAAACAGAATTTCTCATACGAAAAAAAACATATTAGAGAGCGATGACTTTTTTTCGAAATTCGAAAAAGCTTTTAGTCAAAGACGAAGAGAGGAATTGCGTTTAATTTCACAACAAGCAAAACCGCTGAGCAGACAAAATTCAACGCCAGTTGCTCCCCGCCATCAAAACGTTTGGGGCTTGAAAATCAATTCAGAGCGGGTATATTTCCGGTGTTTGTTTACTTAACTATACTTTCGTGGAATCCAAACAAAACCCATTAAAAACAGACGACAAAATGACGCAGATGTCCGACGAACAGTTTAGCATACTCATCGAAACAATTCGATCCCTTGCGCCGATCAAAGAGGAGGAGCCGCCTTCAAAGGGAAGCTTCAGCAATTGTACGGTCCGATTCAGTGGCCAGCGGGATCACGATGCCGTGGATGAGTTTATCACTGCGGTGGAGGCGTACAAAGAGGTGGAGGGCATCAGCGATAAGGATGCGTTGAAGGGTCTGCCCCTGCTCTTCAACAATATAGCCGTGTACTGGTGGAAGGGTGTGCGCCGGGATGCCAAGACATGGCCGGATGCCCTGCAACTCCTGCGGGATCACTTCTCGCCCACCAAACCCTCCTACCAGATCTACATGGAGATCTTCGAGACGAAACAGGACCACGGCGAGGTCATCGACTCCTTTGTCTGCAAGCAGCGAGCCCTGCTGGCCAAGTTGCCGGAGGGACGGCACGACGAGGAGACGGAGCTGGACTTCATCTATGGTCTGATGCAGCCCAAGTACCGCGAGAGCATCCCCCGGCACGAGATCAAGAACTTCAGGGAACTACTCGACCGGGGGCGAACTGTGGAGCGCACCAAGCACTGAAGTTGGCTCTAAGTTAGTTAGTTGTACATAATAGGCAAATAAAGAAATCAAATCAATTGAATATCCCAAGAGTCTTTATTTCATCTATATATAAATTATCTGTACACTTTATGAAGCTCTTATCTTTGCAGGTTTTCTAGACACTGTGGAAAAGCTTCCCAGAATGAGGACAGCACGAATTTTTTAATAAATAGATGCCTAGATGAATGTAGTCATTATCTTATATACAAAACTTATGTAACTTTTTGGAAAAGGTAAATATTATTATTTATTATTATAATAGTTAAAAAATATGGAAAAATGATTATTAATAATAACAGCTTTAAATATTAAATTTAAATATCACATATAATACAATGATAGTATATTAGTTATATAGTTCATATTTAAATCTCCCGCCACCGGTGCTGCCACCCAGGTTAGTGTGACCTTCGCCGATAGTTTTTTTCTAGTATTTTAGGGCGGCGTTCTCGCCTCGCCAGCAAGTCTGGCCACGCAGATTTGGCATTTCACAAATCTGCTCCGAGGTGCGTTGCGTTTTCAGTAATATCGTGCAAATAACGTGGAGTTGTGCGTTTTGCCGACCTCCGGATGGGGGAAAGTGCCGCCGGAGGAGCCGATGTCCCCAAGAACTAGGCGGCACTTTTCCGCCAGCCGAAGATGCTTCTCAGATCGCTTTTCCTGCTCTTTCAGGTGGCAGGTCTCTGCTGGCGTCCCCTTTCTCGTCCTTTCTGAGGCTCTGATGTGAGACGGCGACCGTGGATCTGCGACTGGGACTGCGACTGCTGAGCGCCGGGCGGAGGACACGATGACCACCAGCAGCGAGGATGTGCTGCTCCAGATGGGCGAGGTGCGGTACAAGAAGGGCGACGGCACCCTCTACGTGATGAACGAGCGGGTGGCCTGGATGGCGGAGCATCGTGACACCGTAACGGTCTCCCATCGTTATGCGGACATCAAGAGTGGGTGCACCTCCATCACACACATCCCCAGACAGGCAGTAATCCCTCTTCCCCCGCAGCCCAGAAGATCTCGCCCGAGGGCAAGCCCAAGGTGCAGCTGCAGGTGGTGCTCCACGATGGCAACACCTCCACCTTCCACTTTGTCAATCGCCAGGGACAGCCCGCCATGCTTGCCGACAGAGACAAGGTCAAGGAGCTGCTGCAGCAGCTGCTGCCCAACTTTAAGCGCAAGGTGGACAAGGACCTCGAGGACAAGAACCGCATCCTCGTGGAGAATCCCAACCTTCTGCAGCTCTACAAGGACCTTGTCATCACCAAGGTGCTCACAAGTGACGAGTTCTGGGCTACACACGCCAAGGACCATGCCCTGAAGAAGATGGGCAAGTCCCAGGAAATCGGTCCGTATAAAATCCATTATTTTCGTCTTATTTCTCATCTTACGTTTTTAATCCCAGGTGTCTCTGGCGCCTTTTTGGCCGATATTAAGCCGCAAACTGATGGCTGCAATGGCCTCAAGTACAACCTCACCTCCGACGTGATTCACTGCATTTTCAAGACCTATCCCGCCGTTAAGCGCAAGCATTTCGAGAATGTGCCCGCAAAGATGCCCGAGTCCGAGTTCTGGACAAAGTTTTTCCAGTCGCACTACTTTCATCGTGATCGCCTCACCGCCGGCACGAAAGATATATTCACGGAGTGCGGCAAGATCGATGATCAGGCCTTAAAAGCGGCTGTGCAGCAGGGAGCCGGTGATCCCCTGCTGGACCTCAAGAAGTTTGAGGATGTTCCTTTGGAAGAGGGTTTCGGCAGTGTGGCCGGGGATCGCAACGTTGTGAACAGCGGCAACATTGTCCATCAGAACATGATCAAGCGGTTTAACCAGCATTCCATCATGGTGCTTAAGACCTGTACTAATGTGACTTCAGGACCTTCGACCATGACCAATGGCACCAATAATGCAAACGGACCGGTTTCGCAATCCGCCTATACGAATGGTCTAAATGGAAAGGCCTCGGCCACCGCCACAAAAAGTTCCGCAGATCAGGTGGACAAAGACGAGCCGCAAAGCAAGAAGCAACGACTGATGGAGAAGATTCACTACGAGGATCTGGGGGATCCCTTGGTGGAAGCAGACGACGATGCCGCCAATGGAGATAGGGCCAGCAAGTCAAAGCAGTTCGAGCTGTCCAAGGTGGAGCGCTACCTCAACGGTCCTGTCCAGAACAGCATGTACGACAACCACAACGATCCAATGAGTCTGGAGGAAGTGCAGTACAAGCTGGTGCGGAACTCGGAGTCCTGGCTAAATCGCAACGTGCAGCGGACTTTTATCTGTTCTAAGGCCGCGGTAAATGCCCTAGGAGAACTGAGTCCTGGCGGATCCATGATGCGCGGCTTTCAAGAGCAGTCAGCGGGACGTAAGTTTAAAGATAACTTAGCATAACAATCTTTATTCTTTAAAATAATTGAAATTTGTTTCTTCTTTGAATAACTCATTTCTAATTTATTTCATCCGGCCTACAGAACTGGTGCCCAGTGACTTCCAACGAGAGCTACGTCATTTGTATTTGTCGCTGTCCGAGCTGCTGAAGCACTTCTGGAGCTGTTTTCCGCCCACCTCCGAAGAGCTGGAGGCGAAGCTGCAGCGTATGCATGAGACCTTGCAGCGCTTCAAAATGGCCAAATTAGTGCCTTTTGAGGTGAGTTCTTATATCCCATTCTTGGAATAGTTTACGAACTCCCATATCTTTCAGAATCGCGCCATGCACGAGCTCTCGCCGCTGCGCTCCTCACTGACCCAGCACATGAATCAACTGCTGCGCACCGCAAATGGCAAGTTCGCCACCTGGAAGGAGAGGAAACTGCGCAACACCAGGTAGCAAACGCCCAACGGAGGCGATCTCGAGCGTCTGCCACACACCTCAAGAACCATTATTATAGACTAAGAGTAACTATAAGCGTATGCGGAACGCATTGGAATAAAACATTATTTGCAACTTGGTAGACCAGGCCTGTTTCCATGTCTATTTCAGGAGAATTCTGTGCGTGGCGTCGTGACTGCGGTTATTTCAGAACTGCGGTTAATTTTGGTGCGTACCCGTGCCTGTTAATTAACAGAGCTCGCGATTCTATAAAGGTTGTAATTTTGGGCGCTAGGCGCTTCAGTTGGTTGGCAATTCTTGGTCGTGAAACAAAGGTCGAGGGAATTTTGTAAAAATGGATATTAAAATATTCTTTTGCCTAATTGTTTTAAAGTTATCCTTTGTGGGATCCACTTTGTTATTTCAAACTAATTCTGAATTCGGTGTAAATATTATAATTATTATGAATTCTAAGTTTGTATGATTAAAGTCCTTACATTTAGATATTCATGGCCATATCCGTGCCACTTACTTTGAAGAATCGCAATGTCTTCCTGTCGTATAATTACGAATTTAATTACTATCAGCCCGAGCATGTCTACAAGTACCCTCCGATATTGGTGAGTTGCCTGGTTTTTGGTCCAAGTTGATGGGTATACATGTTATATATCGATTCGCTTAGATGGGTAACGATTGGGAGGATAGTTATTTGACGTATGGTACGACTGGAGGTGTGGATAGTAGCAGCAGTAGCAGTAGATCCTTTCCTTTTGTATATAATAACGATACAAAAAAGCTTCGACCTAGGCGCTCTTTGCCGATCATGAGTCGAACGAACTTCTATATAATGCTCGAGGATAAACTGGAGAGGTATGCTTTATTTTTTGTGTATTACTCTGTAATTTATAATGTGATTATTTTGCAGATCAGGCTATTCTGCCAAGCCGTGTCTCCTTCGCTTAATTTGCGAAACCAATGCCTCAACACTTGGCCAAGTCAATGGACTCTTAGGCAGCATAGTGCATATCATATTCACGTAGGTGAAAGAGCTTTTCACAAACTGCTAATCGTGATGAAAGCTCATACCCAAGATGCTAACTGATAAAAGCGAAAGATATTTTTAGCACCACACTTACTAACAGGGATTTCCTCTTGCAGACCCAGCAGCTCGAGTGACGAGAATTTGGACAAAGATTATTACCAAGCCGAATGGGATGGCCATCGGCATGGAGACTGCTCATCTTATGCGAGTCAATGCGAAGAGAATGTCTTGGACCTGATCTCAAGGCCGTTGTACGATGTTCTTCGGGAAACTATGGACAGACGGAATGGAGGGCAATAAACTGGATGATCGATCAGGCGCTTACAGTTTGAACTGCATTAAACCAATTCGGGCCGACACAGATTTCCGATTCTGGGTTTTAATTAACAGTTTATTGGATACGCACCTTTCTTGCCGACTTTTGTCTAAAGCGGCCGCCAGTTGGTTTCAAAACGCTCTAAGTCGAACATCGGAATTTGATTACTATTGGATATAAGAGACTTTTGTTTACCATGTACAGATCTTTGATCTTTAGCTCTTGTCTTCGCTTGTGTGCCATAATAATAAGCTTAAATTTGGTTAACTCTTCGCTGCTTTTTACCACTAACTCTGAATATGGGGTAATTTTGGCACTTGTTTTTGTCCGGCAGTTTTCTGTAAAATGGTTTTTGCTTTGCAGATATTCATGGCCATTTCAGTGCCCATTGGATTGCCGCATCGCAATGTGTTTTTGTCTTATAATTACGAGTTTAATTATTATCAACCGGAGCACGTGTACAAATATCCTCCGATTTTGGTGGGTTCTATACTGAAGTTCGCTTCTTAAGTCTTTTGTTTAAAAGTGTTTTTATTTTAATGTATAGATGGGTCAGGACTTTGAAGAAAGCTATCTGACATATCCGACGACGGGACGTGAGGCTAATGGCAGGCACTGCCAAAACTGTACGGATTGGAAAATACAAGGAAATAAAACTGAATCGAAAAATTCTTCAACAAGTCCTGCTTCACGTGAAAAGCGAGCTTTAACTCTAATGAGTCGCTCCGTTTTTTATGCTATGTTGCGGGATAAATTAAGAAGGTGGGTTCTATGGTTACCAATAATCTCAAGTAGGTTACAATATAAACATACAAATTTTATTTAGGTCTGGTTTTAATGGTGAAGCCTGTTTGCTGCGGTTAATATGTGACACAAATGCCTCGCAACTGGGCGAAGTAAATGGTTTTTTGGGCAGCCTAGTTCACATTATATTTAGGTGAGTTTCATAACTCAAATCAGCTCTAAGCTTTATTTAACGATCCACACTATTGCAGTCCTAGTAGTTCAAAGGAGGAGCACCTGCCCCATGAGTATTACCAGGCCGAATGGGATGGCCGGGAGCATCAGGAGTGCTCCGCTTATACTAAGACCTGTGATGAAAACATCTTGGACCTGATTTCTGTGCCACTGGAACAGGCTCTAAGCGATATTGTAAGCCGACGCAGATGAGAATAAAGTGGACTGCTGAGAAGAACCCAAAAGTATCTTTCTGGGGGTGTTTACCTATCTAATTAGCGGGCACTCGCTTGGCAAGAGCCACGCACTTGCTTTTAGTACTTGGCTTCAATTGCAATTCAGTTGCTGCCTGAACATCGTGGAGGTCTAACGTGCGTCTCTGGCTTGAGAAAATGAATTTCCCTACATACTTTGCCTCCCTGGCTTTTCTTTTAACTATTTATCTGGATATAACCAACTCCTTTGTGGCCTTTACAGCTTCCAGCACCCATGGTGTAAGCTCTTCAATTTATTACTTTACAAAAATAGTTATGATTTCAATATTAGATCTTTGCCGCAATTGCTGTTCCGCTCGAGTTGCCCCATCGAAATGTGTTCGTCTCTTATAATTTTGAGGCCAACTACAATTTACCCACAAACTGGGAGAAATGGACAATATTTGTAAGTTTCATTTTCGGTTTGTTTATGGCTATAAAACGCCACATTTGTTGACAATTAACACGCTTCTGTGGCACAATTAACAGTTCAACCAGAATGGGAGTATTGTTTGGCTATTTACTCATGGTTCTTATTCCAGCAAAACGGTCCCATAGAATCGGAGGAAGTGGTTCAAGATACCGATACTGACACCGAGGCGGAGTCTGCCCGTAAGTTGGTTGATGAGTGCCAAAATTGCACGATGGAGGAAAATGAGGTTGGTGGAGAAGAACAGGAGGAAGTTGAGGAATCTACCAAAGTAACCCACAAAGAACGTAAGGTTCGATCTCTGCTTACTCGCTCCAATATCTATCGCATATTCATAGATAAATTAAAGAGGTGGGTAAATGTTTTATTCAAAAATCCACGGTGCTAAGATATATACATTTTAGGAGTGGCTTTCAAGGCGAATCTTGCTTGCTACGCCTGATTTGCGAGACAAGTGCTGCTCAGTTAGATGAATTCAATGGTGTTTTGGGCAGTTTAATGCATGTCTTATTCAGGTATTATAAAAATATATTATATTCTTAATAAGCCCATCTAATTGTATTCTACCCAAAGTCCCAGCACATCCGAGTCTGAAGATTTGCCCCTTAAGTATTACCAAGCGGAACACGATGGTTGGAATAACCATTGCCATTTTTATGAACCAGGTTGCGGAGAAAGTATTCTAGAGCTTATATCAGAACCCTTTGAAGATATTTTAAAACACATTGAAAGCAATAAAATATAGAACAAAATACATATTTAAAACTTTAGCATGAGTAGAACCTACTGGTTGACCTAATTTGACTTACTGGGTTTTCAATTAGCAACTTTCGCTGCTCGAAACTAGAAATTCTTAATTGGAGCATCACTTCTAGCTAGAAAGAAAACGTTTTCACTTTGTCTTTTTCAAGAGTGGCATTTCAGTTGAATGAGGGCAGTTGTATACAATGGATGGGTATAGGACCCTTCCAGTCCTGTTGCTTTTTGTCCTTTTCCAGACTTCACTAGGCAAGTTCGTTTGGAGTACGGGAGGAGCATCATCAGTAAGTTAATAATTTACTTCACTTAAAGATCTAATATCTAAATGTATCTCCATTAATCATTACATTTTCAGCTTTTTGTGGCCATAGCTCTGCCATTGGATTTACCAAATAAAGAAGTTTTTTTGTCATACAACTTTGAGGCTTCCTACGATTTGCCCAGGACCTGGAAAAAGAAGCCACCATTTTTGGTAAGATTTCTATTGGAGTTCTTAACTGATAATAATATTTAATAAGTGCAATTTTTCTTTGCTCAGCGTCATGGCAATGGCACTAATGATGAAAGTTTATTAAGTGATCACCATGGCCACCATCAGTTTGATGATTTTGTCTACGATGATGACCAACATTCTGGACACAAACATAAGCATAAACATCATAAGAAAAAGAAGAAAACTAAGCCGAAACCTGGAACTGCTGGCAAACCACCAAAAAACAAGCCCAAACATAAACACAAAAAGAAGCATAAGCCCAAACCGAAACCGAAACCACCACCAGAGGAGGAGGAGGAGGATGACTACAAGGACTTCTTCCAGGGATTCCCCATAGATGGCATGGGTGAACCCGTGGGCAGAGATCGTGAAAAGAGATCCCTGCTCTCAAGATCTAAGTTCTATGAGATACTTAGTCATCGTTTCGAAATGTAAGTAATATTACATATTTCAAGAGTTTTTCTAACCCACTATTTTGATATATTTTCTAGGCATGGTTTAGGCTTGGGCGATCGCTGTTTATTGAGATTGATTTGCGAGGCGAATAGCTACCAATTGGGGGATCTCAATGGAGTGCTGGGCAGTTTGGTCCATATAATGTTCAGTCCCAGTACTTCTCGATACGAGGCATTACCTAAGCGTTATTATATCGCCGAGTTGGATGGCCGGAATGACAACTGTGGGGGCTATCATCCGCAATGTCACCATAATATTCTCGACTTGATCACGCAACCCCTGACTAATAAAGCCAAAATGAACTAATATACTTTCTAGATTTTTATGTATTTTTCATGAACATTTTCAGCGCTTGCCAAGGACATTTTTTCGCATAGGCCTTGGCCTCTTGGCACATCCTGTTATTCCGTTGCCACATTTTATCTGGACATGTGAATATCAGGCGGGAATAGGCACAAAGGCTGTAGAAGAGGGCGTGTCTGTCACAGGCTTCGCTCTGACGACTCAATGGAGACAGCTCCTGGTATTTGCTCCTCACCACCGATGAACAATTGGCGAAGTTGGAATCATATACATCGATGGTGGGTGCACTGTTAAAAGCACGTTCCAACATGGGACGAATTTTCGCCTGAACCAATCGGTTTCCCTGCAGAGCTGAGCTGGCATTAAAGATGCAGGCCAGGCGGCACTTAATGGGAAAATTCAGACAGTTAACTAAGTTTACTTAGTATATAATTTTACTACTCACACTTGCCTCAGGTCCCGAACTATGGCATTCTTTATTATAAACTCCCCAATTTGGCATAGGTGCTGAGCAGCAAATATGTACATTCTATTAGAAAATAATGAATTTTATATGAAGAAGAGTAAAAAGGCTGTGACACTTACCTGCACAGATTTAGGAGCTGCCTTGCACTTGGCAGCTTCAAAAGGAAATGTTAGTTCCAATAAAATCAAGGCAACAAGTATACGCCCTGACTGCATAGCTAAAGCTTCGATAGCAGAATGAATTAACTCAATGTTGAAAAATATGTTTGCGTGTGATTAGCAAAAAGATTACATGGATGATATCCCATACCTTAACGTTAACCCACTGATGTCGCTAGGCATTAGCTTAGTACCTTACTTCATTTGGCAGTAAAACAGTAAAAATAAGTTATTTCTTTTGTAAGTCCAGGTATTTTCTTTTTTTTCCAAATTTTCGTTTGATCCTGTTCTGATGAAAGAGTATTATCTTCAAAATGTCTTCTGTTGTGCTGCAGTTGGTGGGCTTTCTGTGTCTTCCTTTAATTGTGTATAGTGCCACCAGTGAAGTGGGAATTCAGAAATGTACGGAGCTGCTAAACACTCAAAAGTTGGTATTCTGTTGTGGAAAGTCCTTTCTTGATAAGTTTTTATTTGTGGGCTCCAATTGTACTCCCTATTGGGATGACTTTGGACCTGTAAGTAACATTCCTGTATATAATTTTAATGTACTGAATAAGGAAATCCCCGCAGTGCCGCTATGAGTGTCTTTATAAGCACTGGGACCTCCTTGATCAGGATAACAAGATTAAGAAGCCGGAACTCTATATGATGATCACAAGCTTGTACAGTCCCTTGAATGGTTATCATAAATATGGAACCGCCTTGAAGGCTGCTCACGAGACTTGCGAGGCCTTGGGCTCCAGGCACGCCGACTTCCTGTTGCTCTTCAACAACCAGGTGGCGGATCATCTGGGCATGGGCTCCTCCAACTGCTTGCCCTATGCCATGCTCCATGCCCAGTGCACTACGATCTATGTCACAGCCGACTGTCCCAGCGAATTCTGGCGGGAGGAGACGGAGTGCAATGATCTGAAAAGAGTGCTGGCCAGTTGCACCAAGAAACTGGACGAAAAGAGTGAAATCGAGGAAAAAGATAACTTGCAGGACAATGGGAGTGATCACATATTTTCGGAGGGATTCCATCTGCTTTTGACCAGTTTTCTAACCCTGATTATCTCAAGGTTCTTGTCTGATTCCTAATATTTCCCATAGATGAAGGATGTTTCATTCTTACAATTATATCTCACCTGGCTAAACAATAGGTATCGCCTCTAAATTGCGTTGCGGTTTTAAAGTTTCTAATTGTTCAAGCGATTGCATTTAAACTGATTCAATTCAGACAGTATAATTGCATTTGTCTGGCTCTGGTCGAGCCCCCAATCGAACTTATTGTTGGACTTTGACCCACTTGAAATTCACCACCGTCCATCACGATGACTGCTCATTTTGGCTCACGTGACCGCCGTTTAAAATGTTTTTCTATGCTCGATTAATTAGTGGATCGCCCCGAAACTGGAGTTATAAATTAAGCGGTTAAAGGCAGACTAAGCTCAGACTGACTGAAATAATGGCCTGGAATATAGCTCTGCTGATCTGCTGTTTGGTGGCAATGGTTGGGAGCACTACCACGGATGTGGACTGTACTCTTCGTCAGGATTTCAATGTGAGTTTAATTGAAAAATCAATCAACCAATATAGAATTCTAAAAACCCCAAAAAATACTTATATTTCAGACCGTTAAGGACTGTTGTGCCTATCCTACATTTAGGTTTGATAATTTCAGGAATCAATGTGGTAAATATATGCCAATTGGTGCTCCCAGAGTTTCACCCGTAAGTTTTAAGACATAATCCATTTTCTTGGTACATTTATTAACATAAAAAATTTGAATAGTGCCTGTATGAATGCATCTTTAATGTGACGAACACCGTGGTGGATTCAGTTATTGATCCTGATAATGCCAGAGTTCTTCTTGAGAGGCTTTTTGGTAATAATCGGGACTTTCTGGAAGCCTATTTTAATGGTCTAATGAGTTGTACGGATTCTGTCCAAGAGATGATGAAGAACAAGAAACCTCGATCCAACAGTAGTGGCAAACAGTGCTCTCCATTGGCAGTATTTTATGGGGTTTGTGCCCAAAGATACGTCTTTAACCACTGCCCACCATCCAGTTGGTCACCAACTGAATCATGTGAAATGGCGCGATTGCAAAACATGAACTGTCCAAGTGCGAGATCAACACGTGTTTCTGGCTTTAAAAAAGTTTAGCGCTATATGCGGTAATAAAAAAATTAAATGAGCATATTACTTTCATGATGGGAAGTGAGTCAAGTAAATGGGCCATACCGAAAGTCGTTAGGACATCCGGTTCGAGTAGTATATATGGGATATGGGGGAATGCACGAAAGGCAGAAGTTAAAAGAAATGCTTCACCTGCTGACTTGGGTTCTACTATTCACACCAGCTTTTCAGGCTGCAGAGAAATCCTGCTCGGAAAGGCCAGATGTAACTGTGAGTACAATACTTAAAGCCAAGTTAAGATACTAAATACTAAAATTTTCTAGGCCTTGAAAAATTGTTGCAAGCTGCCTAATCTGGATTTCTCAAGCTATAATTCCAAGTGCGGTCAGTTTTTGATTAATGGGGTTCATGTAACACCAGTAAGTGAAAGCTGAAAATGAAAATTTAGTTTATTGATTAATTTAATCTGAAATTACAGTGCAGCTTTGATTGCATTTTCAAAGCGGCAAATGCTATAAACGGCACAAGTTTGGTGATGGAAAACGTGGAAAAGATGATGCGATCTATTATGGACTCTGATGAATTTTTACAGGTCTATATGGGCGGTTTCAAGACCTGTGCTGCTCAGGAGCAGGTTATGATTAAGTCCTTGAAACGTCGCCGAGTGCCCGTCACTGGAAGATGTGCCTCCATGTCCTTGATGTACGGCCTGTGTGCCCATCGGTATTTCTATCGCAATTGCCCGGAAAGTGTTTGGAGCAAGACTGCCGGCTGCAATGAGGCCAGGGAGTACAACATTCGTTGCGACGCTTTCTAACTGGCTAGCCCATTAAAACGAAATAAATCACATTTTACCAGCTGCTTTGATCACTGTGTGATGATATTTATTCGGCTCAGTTAAACAGAACATCCCGCCAGGTGGGTTTTTCTTGGTATCCAAAGACTTCTTGCCCAGATGAACAGCCCAACTGGTTCATAGATTCATCTCCTTCTCCCTCCATATTTATGTTGGCTATTAAATAAAGTCGTAAGCTTATTTCCTAGTATGCATTATGGTTTTGATTCTCACCTAGTTCATCCAAACTCATGCCCAAACGTTTGGCATGTTGCATTACAGCTTTCATCAGCAGATTGGTATCCACAATACCGTCATGCTGTACATCTTGCAAAGAGATCATGATATCCTCACCCAAATTCTCCTCAAATAAATCCTGTCTGTCTGTGGACAGTTCGTGGTCACCTTCGTAAGACTAAAAGAGGATTTATATTTTTATCCATATGTAGGTTTAAGGTTATTTACCTCAGGACCTATCACAAAGTCCTGGAAGGCGGCTTGAACAGTCGACCAGAGGAAAAGGCAGCTGACAAAGGTTAACTGGTTCATGGCAGGTTAATTGACAACTGTTTCCCAATCGAACAGCGAACTTTGACTGATCATAAAACCCAATGGAAGCAGACGGAAAGCACTCTTGCTCATTTGTCATGGTCAATTTGCAGCCTAATGGTTAACATATAAAGGTCTGATGTTAATGATACTTAAAAAGCAAGCATCCTATTAAACTTAATGAACGAAACTTTTACTTTAAATGTTTGTTTACATTTTATAAATATGTAAATCTATATGGGCCATCAACTGCTGGGCAGCGGAACATGCGGCAATGGGTTGCACTGTTCGGCGAATTCCTTGGCCAAATTGCAGGGTTTTTCATTTTTCCACATCTTTGCTGGGCAATTAAGGAAAGTCTCGGCATTCACACAGCTATATATTATTCCGGCAAAAGGTGAACAGCCATGGGGCAGGACTTTATATGACTCAATGTTCGATGACTTCATGTGACCCTTAACTGGATGAAATCAGTGAAACTATAATTAATTTTTAAAGGTGGTGGCTACCATAAATTACACTCACCGTTGGACAGGCAGGACTCAAAAGAGTGTACTATATGGGTAACGATATCCTGATCCCGTCGATGAACATGCTGTTCCAAATACTGCTTAACCGTCTCCATTCTTATTTTTCCATTGACCATAGCTCCCGTTTCCCGATAGATACAGTCAGGATAACACTGAAATAGTTACAGTACTTAAAGGATACACTTCCCTTAAAAACATATGACTACTTACCAAATGGGCAAAACTGGGATATTTGGAATTAGCCGACTTCAAGCCACTCACGTATTTGTGGCACTTCTGGGGCACATCTCCCATATCCAATTGCGGAGTACGACAGCAAGTGTTTATGTCCTGAAAGAATGACTTATTATTTCAGGAATTCTGCCGCCATAAATTTTCCGCTCACAAAATTATTAAAGTTCGGCGGCGCTGAACAGTTAAAAGCCGCCTGCGAACATTCCAACAATAGGAGCAGAAAACCAGAAAAAAAGATTGATTTTTGCATATTTTTAATACAGTGATTAATCTTCAATGTGGTGCCGTGAAATGAATAAAATTTTTCTAACCCACCGCCAGCCGCTTTATATAGCCAAATTTGGCCCGTTTTTAATGGGCTTGTAATGAAGTCGGGTCGTTTGCCATTGTTTGTTGGTTCAATGCGTCTGCCGAAGGCTGAGAGCAAACAGCAGCCGGCTCACAAAGGTTGACTGACTGATGACTGGACTCGATTCCACTCGATTATTTGGCAGGCAGCTCGTGCGTGACAAGAATTGGGGAAATACCAGAAGCTTCCGCAAATTGGGCAAAAGTAATATGAATGGGCGATAAAAGCGGGATAAAGCCGACTGACTCATATCGGAAGGCATTCAGGTAAAGCTGCGGCTAATCCTTTCGCTATTCCGTTACATCCTAATTAGAGCTGCGTGTAATTAATGAGAATGTGGAAAGACGAGACCAGAGGCACCGAGGCGTTGAAGATGCCAGCTAAGTAATTGTTCAGAGCTCCCACCACCGACTTAGATGTTTGTGCTTGGTGCACTGGGAGAAATGGCAGCTAGGTTTTGAGATATGTGAAATTTTCGAGCTCTACTCAGGTAACAACGTAATGATACCAATATTAGTATTTGCAGGTAGATGGGTAGAATATAAATACCAAAATATTAATATACACTTAAAAATACCCAGCCACATCTGTGCACAGATGGTTTGAAGAAAAAATCCTTGAACCCATAAGTTTTTAAGAACCAAAATCAGTTTTGATTTGTAACTCAACAAATGTGAATGTGTTTTCTTTGAAGATCGCTATTTTGATTGGTTTTTATTATATGCATAAATCTAAAGCCAATTGATTTATTTTAATTATTTTTAACTTTATTTACAAATAAAACCCAGTCACCTGTTTTTTTTGTGTCTAATAATTCGATTGATTTTCTAATAAATGATAATATATTAACAACCAAAGCGGATTTTGTATTTTGCACAAGAAAAATAACTGTACTAATATTACTTTCTATTAAGGCCCCTAGCCTTTTTGGTGAGTATATAAATATCAAAAACAATGTTGTTTATTAAGATATTCTCCATTCTTTAGCAAACTCTTGAAAAATGTGGGATATGATAGAGCAGATTTATTTAGGGGACGCCACAGATGTGGACTACAAAGCAGTGCCTTCCCCATGGACAGGATCCCTCGACGAGCTTCGGGATCGGATGAACCTCATCGATGGACACATCTACAAACGTACTACTCGGGAAGGTCATGTGGAGCGAGATCCGGTGCCGGAAAAAGTCCGAGTGTCCATAAGGTACAGAGGTTACTGGGAGGGCGATGATGCTGCCTTTCAATCTGCGAAACTGCGAGAATTTGAGACTGGTGGGGATATGGTGCTCAAAGGTCTGGAGGCCGCTGTTCGCACCATGAGACCTTACGAAAAGGCGGACTTTGTGATATCCAAAGAGCTGCTCTTCGAGGAGATGGGCTCTTCGTCTCACATCAAACCCAAGTCAGATGGGCTGTTCCAGGTGGAGGTCATCGATTACTCGCCCATCGCAGATATCGAAATCCCAATGGAGGAACGCGACAAGTTCCACGTTGTCTATCCCCAGGCAAAGGATTTGTACAAGAAAGGCAAGATTTGGGTGAAGCGATTGCGTTATCCCAATGCGGTGACCGCTTTTCAGGAGGCTACCAAATCTTTGAAGACTTGTCGGATTGCCAATGCCGATGAGAAGCGCCAGCAGACCGATCTGCTGATTCTCCTTTCCCTTGGTCTAATGATATGCTATAATAATAGGGGGAAGCCGAAGTGGTCTTGTAATGTGATGAAAGACGTGCGCCGTCTGACTGGGAATAATCCTCCCTGGAGGACGCTCTTCCAGGAAGGACGCGCTTTGGCTGAATTGGGGGAATACGAGCGTGCCCTCAATTCCTATAAGGAGGCGCTGAAAAAGCAGACGGATAACGAGTATATCAAAGAAGAGATCATCAGCATCACAAAGAGGATCACCAATCTCCAGAAGGATAGACGAGATCTTTGGCACCGAACCAGGAACATGACAGATGCAGATGATTGATCCGGCAAGAAGGCGGGAACCTAAAAATTACACAATAAATTAAATAAACAAAACCAATTTTATTGCACTTTCTTTATTTTGAGAGAATTTTGCTAACTTTTCTTATACGATTTAATAATTTTGATAGAATCTTGCATCTGCCTTACGAATATAAATATTTATAAGTAAGAATATTATAAAGAAACTATTTAATCTTAAATTTTTAATCTGAATAAATTATTTTTTTGCAAGTAGAAATACTGCTTTCATATATTTGTTCAGTGTAAATATATGGGAACTTTTCTTTTGTGAGCCTGCTTTGTCTTCTGCTCAGTGATTTGCTCCTTATGTTTCTAACCACTAAGCTGATGGCTTTTTGGGCATAAAACGATTTCAACGAAGCTGCTTTGTACTTAAGGTGAGCTTAAATGCTGTGGGAGTACATTATTCGAATGGAAGTAAGGCAACTTCATAATCCTTAATGAATTAAAACGGGCTTATCAAAGTTACGCACTCAGATTGGTTTTAGTTTTCCAATTTCCTCGGCCATATCTTGTTAATTGAAAAAACATTTTCTATACCACATCCGAACAATGCCTGCAACAAAGCTGAAGCATTCAACTGATTCCCTGTGTAGTCCTGCACGGAATTAAAAAACATTGAGGTAGAAAGTGTGACAAACATTAAAAAGGAGAAAAAAGCGGGGCAAAAAAAATCGATTGAAATGCGTGTGACATTAAATATGTATGAGACAGGACAACCGCTTTAATGCGTACAGGGAACTGGAGAATCGTGCCAGCAGAGAAACACAGAGAATCGGAGAAACAGAGAAAAGACGAGGGGGAGGAGCACTATACGAACATGTCTTTGCTTTTGGCATGGAGAGAAAACATTTTTAAATTGGAATTTAAATGCTCCTGAGTGGCAGTTGACATTAGCATTTGTTTGAAAATCAAACAGTTTGGATAAGGATGTCGCCACCCCCACAAAATGTCCTGCAACCCTCATGTGTCACACGCATTCCAAGGCCCGCAGCAGCCAGAGCATCCGTCTAAATGTTTATCACTGTAATATAAAATTTAGCAGACGGCAAAAAAAAGCCTGTAAATAAAAATGTTGCCTTTGTTTTCTCTACAATTTAATTTCCGACATTTTCCGGGAACCATTTGCCACACAGGCCCAGGCATATTGATATTTCAATAACTGTCAGTCGCCGTGGGGCTGCCACTTGAGTTTAATTTGATTAGGCCACGTGAGAGGTGTCTTGTGGAAGCATTGGAAAACTCGCAATTAATTCGGCCTGCGACTTCAAAGGACCCGCCCTCCTGGTGTTTCACATCCGTATTATCTCTCTGCCGAATCCGGAGTATCCCTTTTCCTCATTCCGTAAACAAACAGGCAGCGAAATGCTGCGCAAACATGGGTCCCAACAAATATTTGCATAAATCAAATAGGCAGATTTTCAGGCATTAGAACTGCAATCGAATCGGTCCTTGTTTGAGGACCTTTACCTCCCCTCCCATCCCCTCCCCCCTGCGGTTCCACCTGTTGCCTGGCGGAAAGCTTTGGCAACAGCTTGTGGAATGCAGCTTTGCGAGCTTTCCCCGTGTGGATTCCAAAATTGGCGCCTTTTGGTAAGAACGCGAGGCTTGTTAAGACACATCCTTCGGGCTTCCCATCAGTTATCAGCGGAATGTGAGCGAGTGCGGTTCGGTTCGGAATTTCGAATTTTACGGAAACCATTCAAAATCGTTTGAATGGAAACAAATATTTGAAATATGTGCCAATACAAAGAATGGGAATTTTAATAAGCCAATAAATGAATAACAAATAGCTGCCCTATTTAATTCAGAAAACTTTTCAAAGTCAATGGCCCTTTGTGGGTGAAATAAATTCCAGTGTCGCTATAGCAAATAATCCCGCATATAAATGTGAACACAATAGAGTTTTGGCCCAGTGTGTGGGCGTGTGTCAATAACCAAGGCAACTATCAAACACGCCCTCTCCCGCAAAAACAGCTTAAACATAATCATTTCGCAGCTTAGAAGGCGTTAAACGCATTTAAGCCGGGTCAAGTAAGTGGTCGAAAGGACAAAAGACTCCGGGCATTGTGTCTTCGGTGGTCAGTTAAAAAGTGCCCCAGTGTAAAACCCAAAAAAAAACCAAAGGATACCAGGGAAAATAGAGGGAGTGGTCAAGGCATCCCATTCTGCGGATACCAGCTTAGTTAGCAAAGAAGGTAGGCAATTTCTGTGCAGAAGGGAAAGGGCAACAAATTGCGGTTAATTAAAATGCCAGTGCATACATACGCTCACCTGCTGAAAACAATACAAATCGGTTACCAAAGGGAAAATTGTGCGGCCGAAAGAGTCGGGATGATGGGTTTTTGGGCGTCTATTGTTTTGCATGTTTGCAGTATCGATTGGTTAAGTTACAGCCAGAAATCAGCCATCCTTCATCCACCCATAAACTAAGTGATAACCAGGAAGGACATGATGGACCCAGCTTTATGGACTTCCGCTGCAAGCTGAGTAAATCTCGGCCAAATATCCCTGGCATTTCGGCAACTTGTTATGCATTAAACCAAATTTTTATTAGACCAATAAATAACAGATTTGGTGGTTAAGTTCCTTTCTTTTGTGGCGGATTTTTATGGGCTTATGCACGGACTATCCTGAGAAGTGGAGATCCCTCACGTAGGCTGAGGTATCCAACTGCAGGCGCCTGCACGTGCCGCGTACAATGGGCGGAAGGCAAAGGAGAGCCGTTAAAGGCCAGACAATAAAACGCAACACTTGTTGGCAATCGCCTGAGTGTCTGCCCCATCCTCCTGCCACAGGATATGTGCTGACTTAAGCACTGGAAGTGGCCAGCAGATCAGGTTCAGGCTCAGTCTCATGCGGAAATGGAAATGAAAATGGCAGTGCGTGCCTGCAAATTATGATGTTGGCTTGCCCACTGTCTAGACTGGCCATTCCTTATCGGCCTCTGAGGAAGCTTCAATAAATTCCCATTCATAAAATTTAAGCGGCCAACAAGGATGAATAAAAGGAGCCATTCATTTTCTCAGCCTTGTGCGATATGTATGCTAATTATTATATCATATATTTCCCCAGCAAATTTTCTTTCTGTATTCCCGATCGAATACATTGTTTCCACGCTTAAATGAGCAATTTAATTACAAACTTTCTATACGCCTCTATGGCTGCCTTTGGCCATGCGGCGTATACGTAATGTGCTGCTGGTCTCTTGTGTGGCATGTTTATAAATTGTAAATGCTTCGCTTTTTTACCACTGCTGCTCTGTCAGGTTATGCATATAAAATTTAATGAGCTACATTAATGAGAACCGAAAATAGCACTTTGCAATGACGGTGGCAATTGTGAAAGTACAAGCTGAAAAAAACGAACTTCAATGGCTTGCAAAAACTGGAATTTAATCTTTTTTGCGCATACTTTTGTGGGATAAGTGCTAAATGCGAACGCTTGCCACTATTCGCACTGTTATTATATTTTCAATCCTCTAAAGAAATCCCCGGCAATTGCGAGCAAACATTTATAAGCATTATATATATAAGCAGCCGGAAATTGCTGAAACTCTCACATGGGCGGGAATAGAAAGTAAAGCACACACAAGCAACAATCCCAACAATCCCCCAGTTTTTTGTTGTGTCGCCTTTGGCAAATCCATTGTGTGCAATCGCACGAGATTAGATACAATCTTCTATAATGGGATGTGGAAAAAGAAGGCAGAGGAGCAGAAGGAACGATGTGTGATTTGTCCATCGTGTCTTGCAAACCCATTTCTTATGCTGGCGGATATTTCTGGTAATGTCCTTTTTTATGCCACCGTTGATTCGTCCAAGCTGAATGTGTTTTTGCTTGTTTTCCCGCCGGGCGTACATTCGTCAAATTGACTGGCCATAAATGAGATTTGTCCATGCGAGCTGTCAGAATGAATTTGCATTTACATTCCGATATGAAATGATTCGTGTCTTAGTTGGGTTTTTGGACCTTTCTCCAGACTCAATTGAAATCCAATATGCAATTAGCAACTGTGGCCATAATTTTAGCCTTCTAATTTCGTCTGACTTAATTTATGAGGTAATTAGAAGCGGTCCTTTTCCATTTTTTTCATTTTCAAATATTTTCAACTTAAATTTGCGGCTGGTATATTGCTGTCTTAACTCATCTGTGTTGGGCTGTAGAAAAAGGAGGCAACGGGGCGTATGTGTTATAAGTAACCGAGCGGCTAATGAACCAGGACCTTGGAAAACTCCGGAAAAGACGTGCAGGCATGTACTGTACCGTACAGTAATAATCAGCCAGTCTTTTGTTTTATGTGCATGCGTTAATTTACGAGAAAAACAAAAAGGAGCAACAATGGACCAGGAAAATACGAAGGCAGACACAGTGGGAGCCATAAGTAGAGCACCCAAGCTGCGGGCGGAATTTTCAATTTGCCCGAGGGTTTAATATTTCATGAATTGTGGCTGGAAATTCCAGTGCCAATTAGAAAATCGCTCAGGGAAAGTGCGGTCCGAGTAAATCGGAAATTCCACAGAAAGTAATTGGTTTGGGTTGGGTAGCAATTCGAAGAAATCCTTTTTAAGCATTGGTTGTTGGCTTTCCCCTGGGAATAATGTGGTTTCAAGTTTATTTAAAATTTACCAGAACTAAGTAGTAAGTGGTAACTGCTTCCGCTTTGATTTTAAAGGGTACAGACAACTTTTTCAGAGCACTGTACAGAGTACAACCTACATATTTAATAACTCGTGTGTGTGTGTCTTATTTCCTGCCCTGTTTTATGTCATGCATTAATGTAACGATGCATCATTTATGCCATTTATTATCAGATCATAAATGTGAGATTTCGTCTCTGAGGCAGAGGAACCCAAAACAAGGCAACCCAGCCTCCTATCTTTAGCAGGAAGTTAGCGTTTCTAATTTCTATCACCATCAACCTTGACTCGGGCCCTTTGACTCCATTTTTATGGCCCCATATCAGTAGCGAAAACAGGCCTCTGATCTGCTGACTTTTCTGTCCGCCTTTGATGGCAAAACTAATGAATTTTTATGGCACTGGGCCTGTGCATTTACTTATCTAGCCACCCTGCTTTCCATGGAAATGTTCTTCGACTTAAAGCTCACTCCCCGCAGAATTTATGGTCCTTTAAGCCAGCCACGAAGTAGGCGTGGCCCGGACTCGGTGAAACATGGCCAATGCAATTAACACACACAGGCCAAAAGCCGCAATCTGTGGTGGAGCGGGCAGAAGGGTTGGCGATTGAACTTTGCCCGTCAGCTTGCTTTCAGCCAACCGCAGGGGAATCCCCTTACAATTGAGGGAATTATAACTTTCTGATTGAACGAATTCTGCAAGGGAGATCTAAACAATATTCAAGAAACATCCGATTTAGTACTGCACATATTAATCCAGGCAGCTAAAACCTAAATTGCTGTATTCTACTTAGAAGTACTCAATTTAGCAACATTTAAACATTTTAATAAAGTGTATTTTAGCATACAACTTGAAATGCTATTATTTTAGTGAACAGAAATATGATATCCATATCAGAATAGCATAGCTTTAAACACAAACAAAAGTATAATACAATTTTAGCCTGAAAATTATAAAAACACAAATTCTTAGACGGGGTAAATGCGTTGATAAAATGTACAGAAAATGTTTATGAATTGGGAAGACTTCTATTTTAAAAATGAATTCATTCAATTTATTTATCACATAGGAGATTTTGATGATTTATGATGATTTTATAAAAATACCCCTTTTTTAAAATACTGTTTTATTTTAGTACCTGAAGTGGCAGTGCTGAGTGGCAGGATGTGGTAGAATGTGGTAGAATGTGGTAGAATGAGTGACCACAACCACATCGATTCGGTGAATGCCAGCGGGAGTGATCCCCTCCTGGAGCTGCACAACCTGGCAGACATCGGCGAGAGTGTGGAGCTGCAGTGTCTGGTGCAGGAGCACATCGAAGCCTCGACCTATGGCAACGCCAGTGACCACTGCCTCACCCAGTTCGACTCGATCCTGTGCTGGCCAAGGACTGCCCGCGGAACCCTGGCGGTGCTCCAGTGCATGGACGAGCTGCAGGGGATTCATTACGATAGCACCAGTAAGTGAGAGTGAATCATGCTCCCCTTTGACATTTGCTTACACTTGGAAAACTTGGGACTTTTATGAGATCTTAAAAGACAGCTAAATTTAATAATGACTCACTAAAAATGAATAAGAATCTTATTAAAAGTTCAGTAATATAATAGCGATTAAGTATGCATTCGGCAGATAACTAGAGAATTAAAATTTGCTTTAACATGCAGCATTAAGTCATCTTAAGCATGGCTTCAAGTCCCTGTTATCCTCCAAAAAGTAAAATTTTGATTGAGACAAACAAGAGTTAATGGCATCCAGTCTATTTTGAAATTGTTGACCTTTTCTTTGCGTGCCTTTTTGAACCCGCCCAGAGAATGCAACGAGGTTCTGCCACGCCAATGGAACCTGGGAGAAGTACACCAACTACGATGCCTGCGCCCACCTGCCCGCCCCCGAATCCGTGCCGGAGTTCGAGGTCATCGTGGAGCTGCCCACCATTATCTACTACATCGGTTATACCCTCAGCCTGGTCTCGCTCTCGCTGGCGCTGATTGTTTTCGCCTACTTCAAGTGAGTGGACCCCCCTTGGTCTGGTGACCCCAATAGCATTGCCTGGCATTTATTTTTGCTTAACACCCCCACCCCCACCCCCTTCAAATGCCCCGCCCATTTCGTTGTGCCACAGGGAGCTGCGTTGCCTGCGCAACACCATTCACGCCAATTTGTTCTTCACGTACATCATGTCGGCTTTGTTCTGGATACTCTTGTTGTCCGTCCAGGTGGGTATTATGTCCGCGAGATAATTGCAATTGCAGTCTTATTAAATCATACTTGAGAGTATATTAATACCGAGCAATGAGACTGAAAGCAGTAGTTATTTAATAAGGCTTACCCCTTAATCTTAAGATATCCATCCGAAGTGGCGTGGGCAGTTGCATTGCCCTGATCACCCTCTTCCACTTCTTCACGCTGACGAATTTCTTTTGGATGCTGGTCGAGGGATTGTACCTGTACATGCTGGTGGTGAAGACCTTTTCGGGGGACAATTTGCGATTTAATATCTACGCCTCCATAGGCTGGGGTAAGTCTGAATGTCTCTCCATGTGGGCGACCAATTAAGTCTCCCCCCTCCCCTTCTCCTGGTGACAGGTGGTCCGGCCTTGTTCGTTGTCACTTGGGCGGTGGCCAAGAGTCTGACGGTCACTTACAGCACCCCCGAAAAGGTAAGTCTGCTGTGGGATTACAGCCGGGCGGCCCATTGAGTCTTCTCTTCTTTCTGTTGCCTTTCTGACAGTATGAAATCAACTGTCCCTGGATGCAGGAGACCCATGTGGATTGGATATACCAGGGACCCGTCTGTGCCGTGCTAATCATCAATCTCACCTTCCTGCTGCGCATCATGTGGGTGCGTATGGCCTTACACGGCAAAAAATATATTTTAAGTGATTTAAGACACCTGCAAAACTAATATTTATGTTGGTTTATCTCCCACAAAATCTCTTACTTTACTTAATTTATGCTTTGTATAATCATTTCTTATTTAATAAGCTAGGTAATGAATTGTATAATAATTTAAAGGGGGGTTCATTACTTTTTAAAGATACATATTATATTATATTTTAGTTATTAAATATATAAATGAAACTTCTTTTTCCATGACTGTTTGCTGAGTGTGCATTGTCAAAAAAGTAAGCCAGATTATCAAGTTCCTTCGCTTTTAGGTTCTTATCACAAAGCTGCGCTCGGCCAATACAGTGGAGACTCGTCAGTATAGGAAAGCAGCCAAGGCCCTGCTGGTGCTCATCCCCCTTTTTGGCATCACCTACCTGGTGGTGCTCGCTGGACCATCGGAATCTGGCTTAATGGGTCACATGTTCGCCGTACTGAGAGCCGTTTTACTCAGCACTCAGGTGGGTTTTGTCTGCCAAAGCATAAAGCTCTTTTTTTTGCTAAAGGAATGTGTACGTCACAGGGCTTCTCGGTGTCGCTGTTCTACTGTTTCCTCAACTCGGAGGTGCGAAATGCACTGAGACACCACATTTCCACGTGGCGGGACACGCGCACCATCCAGCTGAACCAAAACCGACGGTAAGTACTTCTAAGTTTTAAGTTTGCTCACAGCACAAGTGCAAGTCCCCAGACAGGAAGTCCCCAGGAAAAACATAAACGGATATTAACAACTACTAATTATAGACGTTGTTATAGGAATTTAATGAGCTTGGCAAATAAACTTTCTTTTATGTATTTGTTTACGGGTCAACAAAACCAATACTAAAAGTTTAGTTTATAACCTTTTTGATGTTTAATGGTAGCACAGAAATATAAGGATTTTAAGTCCTAACAATAATTCTATTATAATTAAAAAATTTAGTTGAAAATAATAATATTAAATGAGCGTTTTAAAAATCGGATTTCAAGGCAATTAAAATATAGCATATACAATCTTTTGATAATAATTGAAAAGTATTTGGAATAAAAACACATTAATTCTTGATTTAGACAATAATTGTCTTCCACCGTCTATGTATACTAATTTTATTTTCTATGTTATCTTCTTAAATCTCCGCAGTTACACGACGAAGAGTTTCACGAAAGGCGGTGGTTCCCCTCGAGCCGAGAGCATGCGGTAAGTTACCGGGTAATGGTGGTAATTGGAGGTAAGAAGTGACGGCCTTTCTTGACCCGACCCCCTTTACAGACCTTTGACCAGCTACTACGGACGTGGAAAGCGGGAGTCCTGCGTGAGTTCGGCCACCACCACCACACTGGTGGGTCAACATGCTCCACTTTCGCTCCACCGGGGATCCAACAATGCCCTGCACACGATGCCCACGATGGCGGGCAATGCCATGAGTTCCGGCAGCACTCTGAGCGTAATGCCCCGGGCCATTAGTCCTCTGATGAGGGTGAGTGGGGGAAGGAGAAGGACGTCGTCCAGATCCTGACTAATCGTTCTTGACATTACAGCAAGGACTCGAGGAGAACTCGGTGTAGACAGAGCCTCAGCAACTGCATCTTAAGAGACTGAACTTTCATTGAATTCCACTTCCGTGTCGGAGATCTGCGAGTGCGATTAGTTACTATAGCTAGTACCATATTTTAGGAGGAGTGCGATGAAAGAACGAAACCAAGTACCAAGCGGAGCAAGCAAGCCAGTTAAGTTAGGTCAATCGTTTTAAACTGTTAGATGTCGTCTATGTGAACCGCTGAGAGCCCTATCCCATAGAAGAAAATAACCCATTGCGCCATTTACTCCAACTGTAGCTGTTGAATTTAACTCAATGTGCAAATGGATTAATTCTCTGTATGAAACACAAATCTGAGCATCTAAATAAATGTTCTATTTACTTCGGTGTACATGATTGGTCTTTTATTGTGGGGGATGCGAATTCTTTTTCTGGTCCTTTGATGATGCAGCTTATGTGGTTTCAAAAAAATTCCGAGAAATTTTTTTTCTTTGGTGTAAGCTGTTATGGCTACAAATATGGAAAAAGTTGAAGGGAAAAGTTGACACAGCAAACACATGTTCCGCTCCTCACAACTTTTCTAAAAGTATGCAACAGTTTGGCAAGCCAACAATACAGCGCCACGGAACTCAAACATCTTTTACGATAATCTGCGAACGAAAAGTTTCATGGGCAAAACTTTCTATCAAAACCAACATTTTATGAAGCTGACAGGATAGAGGAACAGAATTCTCTGATTATCAAGGATTCGGAGCTCTTAACATTCTATCAAGCCTTTAAGTGCAGAAGAAGCTCACTTAAAGGTAGCCCTTTCTCACACTTTTCAATTTCGACCAATTACATTTATAATTAATTGAAATTTCAGTGGCTGATGAAAAATATACCCATAGACGGCCTAATTGTTCGCTAATTGGACCTGAGCGCGGCAAACAGTGAAAAGTTTAATGAGTTAATTGACCAAAGTTGAGAAAAAAGGTTCCCCTTAAACCGCCATCTGCTTTAAAGGTTAACTTTTGGGAACTTAGCATCCAAATGGCTTCTGCACTTAGCAGCGTCCCTTGGAAATATTAAGTTGAAAGCGTTGCACACATTTTGGCGTTCTCAAAATTCATGGCAACTACTGCCAGTATAGCCCCAAAATGCTCATAAATGTTGCATGAGAAGCGGCCATGCAAGTACAGATAAAAACTAGGAGTGCTGGCGGTCCTTTTTATGGCTTAGACTTTTAAGTACCCATTTAAATAAGGAATTAAATTTTACAGAAAAAATTCAATAATTTTTAATACATATTCAAAGTGTGTTTCAAATATGTGTTTTCTTGAATAAATATTTATTTGTTTAAGAAAAAAGAATGTGTTTCGTATTTTACATCATTTTTCCCATCTAAGTTTTATGAACTATTTGTGATTTCTGTAGAAATAATATTCATATTTATTTCCAGCATATATTATTTTTTATAAATCTTAAAAATCCATATTTTCTCTTAACAAAATCCAATACCAATACTCCCTAAAATTACAGGGTTCACAAATTCTAAAGCGAGGAGCAGACAAAGGCAAAATCCAGATAGAAAAGAGAATTCAGAACCGAATACAAATGTAAATATTCCACTCCAACTACTGCTCCATTCGTAAAGAATGCATGCCAACATAAAAAATAAAATAAATATAAATGTTTAATGTGCTTGAAATATGCACGAAACGTTTGTTCTTCTCTTCATTTGATATGCGGAGATTTCTTTCGTTATTTCGCTCGCTTTTTGTGTTTCGTGGTTTTTTATATCCGCCGGAAGCGGCGATTGCGGTAGCCACGTTTCTGTGCTTAGCCTAATTGTAAAGGCCCAAAGTGGCACTATAGTACAAGTTTAAAGGTATCGAGAGGCATGCCATCCAAACAAACTTCTCGTAAAACTTATGCATACAGTGTGGCAAATGAAATCACATCAATGTGTGGCAAGTCCTTAACTTCGATGCCCCCTCAACTTTCGAACTTCCGTCAACATATGCGTCGTGTGCAGCTGTCGCCTTGAAGATCCTTTGCCTGCCAACCGGCGACAAGGACACTTGCCAGCACCTGAAGGACCCAGATAAGAGGGGGCAAATGGCGGCAAATGGCGGTGGCAGGCAGTCAAACGGGGCGCCACAAAAATGCCAACGCAATTGTAGCATTTTAATTAACCAAATTGTGCGCATAAAATGGCAACTTCAGCAGCAACGCGGCAAACGGAACTCAATTATAAGTCGCTTAGGCGGCCACTATACATGAAATCTTTTTCAAAGGGTTCGGCAGCTGCTTTAATTAACGCCATCTTCAACACTCAAGGGGCGGGGCATTTAAGGAATGGCTTGGGAACTCAGACTCCAACAAGTTGGCATCAGGTCAAAGGGCAAGCGGACGTAGGAAAAGTATTTAAATATGGGAAGCAAGAAAACAGAGGTTCCACCATAATGATTATTTCACTGGAAGAAAACACGAACATTTTTGTTTAAATTTACTGTTTTAAGTACTTTAAATACACCTTAACAAATGTATAATTTTAGTTGAATTAAATTGACTGAATTCTACTTTTTCAGTTGTAAATTATTTAATACAATTTAAAGAGACTAAATCTAGAAATAAGGTTAAAAGTTATCAAAGCAGCAACAGTATTTGATAACTTCAGTGCAAAAGTAATAATTGCACGTTATATGAGATGTTCTAAATAAAAGCTCTGTTCGGAGAAGACTCATAAAAAGTCTGAATAAAATGCGAAAATAATATATCCTTTCCCAGCAAAAAAAACCTTTTTATGCACAACTTTCGGCTTTAATTAAAACAGTGTCCGCAGAGCGAGATGAGCATTCGGGCTATATGTGATTTATGTGTAGCTTCTGCCTTTTCGGCAGATCCCCTTAATTATGTGTAGATGTATTATGAATGGGGCAAAAGCTAGCGCCTAGATGGCGGCAATGGGAATTCCCCTGAAGTCCTTGGCCATAAAGTGTGTTTCATCTAACGTGCCTCACGCTCGAATGCCTGTGGTAGCCAAAAAATTTGGCCGCAGGATGTGTCCCCCCCGCCTTACATCCGCTTAGTGGATCTCTGCCCCGAGGACGTTGGCTAATTAAATATTTGCTCTTGTCGGCTTAAACAATTCCGTCATTGCAAAAGGGGGGGTAAAACTTTGAACTTGTGCTGGTTGGAATGAGCAAGGGAAAACAGGAACTTAAAGCCGTCAACGGGGATATGACAGAGAACTTCCTCAATCCTCCTGCTGGTGACGGCTCGAAAACAATTTCCACTGGCTGCCATCGCGACTGGGTAACATTCTTTATGCAAATCGAATTGGGGCAGCAGCTGCCGCCGGGAAAGTTGAGCCATCCAGTGCCTGTCACCGACAGTTGCAATAGAGAGCACTTTGACGATCGCATATATGCAATTCTAGTGAATACTAATTACAGATATGGAGTGCGATAAATACCACCCTGCCTCTTGCAGTTTTTGCCAGCATTTTATTCCAGCGAAAATCAATCAAAACTGAGTGCAAAAGTGTTTGACATCGTTGGGCGCTTAATTGATTGCCTCCACAGCAGCGCAGGATATCAATCAATGCCGCTGGCGAAGCAATTTAACCGACTTTAATACGGCTTAATTTACTCGCTGACGACCGCAAAGTTGAAGTGCGAAAATCAACGTGTTAATGAGTTAAGAGCAGCGCTTAAGGCCATTTCCCCTTTAGCCTTATTCATCACACTTTCGTTCATAAATTGCACAGCATTATCCTTTCAGTCGGTAATCCTCTAGAGGAAGCAGCAGAAGAGTAACACCTCCTGTGGCAGAAACTATTCAATTTCCCCCCACTATTCTGCGTCTCCTGGCATTGGCAATTTATTTCCATATTCCAGCTGCTCCATTGACATTTGCGACGGCGAAATGCATGCCAGCGGATACAAGTTCGAGTTTACACAAAACACTCGTCGGCTACATATTCATATTTCTCCGCCGAAGGGCTAAAAACTCGGTTAGGGTTAAGGAAAAGTTTCTGCGGCTGCCTGTGCGAAATGCAAAACAAATCAATAAACTGGATGCCCAGCCCGGGAGTTTGCCCTGTTTTTTGGTCTGTTTCGACCCCACTAATTGGCCCATAAATAATTTAAAACGGCAACAAGTCAACGTTCTGTATACATAAATATTTTTTGGTTGTTCTCAGCATGCCATTTAAAGAGTAAACCAGACCCTTTTTTCGTGTGCGAAATGTACAGATAGAGAGCTGAGCTAAAGTTTCACGATATAATTGGTTTTTTTGGGAAGTGGAAAAGCGGAGAAGACCACATGCCTTGAATCAACGACTTGGCCTGCAGTTCTTGGGAAAAACTTTTGGCCAGCTGTGGGTTTCGGTTTATACCTGGCTCTATCTCTTTCGTATTAGCCAGAAGGGAGCTGTTTTCCCCCCGCCCCTTTTTTCGCTCAGGTTTTTTGACCAAACCTAATTTATAAGCATCAAAGAATACAAAATGTGCTGCCTGCAATTTCCGCTTTCCAATTTGAGACGGAGTTTACCTTTTCGCCGTGTGGTCGACACAGGTCGAAAGAGGGAAAAACCGACAAACTTTTCGTTTCTTTTCGCAAAAATCAACAAGTGTTGCCACACACAAGTTTTCTTTGGCTCTTGACACTCGGTGACAGTTTTTCAAGGACCCTCACACCGCCCATTCCGTCACACTTCCTGTCACCGACATGACTTTTGACTTTAACTCTGTCCCAGTGACTGATTTTTGTGACAGCCCCGGAATCGCAAACACAAAGTTTGCCTTTTCCTTAACTTTAATTGTGTTTGCCTAATTCAATGAGGTTGTGCTTAACTCTCCATGCTTTTTGCCTAATGGCATATAATGCAATTTGAATTCGTCTGATAATGTTATTTGCCCAGGGCCGGAAAGTCGCCTTCAATTAAACGGTGAGTGCTGTGAATGGAATTCCAAGCCAATCCTTTTTAGGCCAGGCCAAAACCCTCAGTCAGTCGGCTAAATGCAATAATTAATTGCGCCGGCAAGCCCCCAGCGACTTTTCTGGGACAATAATAGTACAAAGGAGCAGATACCCTGGGTATTGTCGTATTCCCTGGCCATTAGCGCAGGTGTGGCCTGCCATTGACAGCTGGCTTTCGAGAGGAGGTCGTCTGAAAAGGTTTTCGGGATTTGGGATTTCTTTCCCACTTCCCTTTCTGTTTTTATCGAAGGCCTTGTTATTGTCGCATTAGCCAGATGGCTGACGTTTTAATTGGCGCCCAACGGGACGTATGATGAATAAAGCTTTCGCTTTATGCTGTTTGCTTTCAAAGTGCTTCTGCGAAAGAAATATACATGTTGATAGACATTTGTATCCAAGCAATTGAGCACATCTTTATGCAAA